ACACCAAATATAGTTGACCTATTGCTTATAGTATCGGAGATAAGGACTTGGCAAATAAAAATATAATCTTGATCACTGATCTTTGAAATAAGGTAAAAGCAGACCTTGCAATGAATCTTTATACCAAATATAGTTGTCATATCACTCATTATAAATGATAAAATTTAGTGATATAAATACTTTATTATTTAAAAATAAGCATTTTCTTAAGCAGTCGCTAAACTATTAAAATGAGGTCAAGGACAAAGGAAATATGTTGAGAGAGAAGCTTACATAAGGCATCTAGATACATAATAAAGGGCATCAAGGTTTTCTACTTTCTGAAATACAAAGCTTTATACAAAAATTTCGCCATCTTTTCTACAACCTATCAATATGTCTTGCAATCTGCTAAAATTATATTCTGTTATATGTCTAACAATTCCATGATATACTTTAGACATTCATCTACTCCTTGCAACCAATGAATAGACCACATATCATTGTTAAATCATGTATATTTACTAAGGAAAAGACCTCATCCTGAAAACTTTACCTGACTAATTGAATACATATGAAGGAGCCAAAGTTAGATTGTATTACAATTGTGAACAGTTACAACAGCCTCTCTTACAAACACACCACAGACTTAAGTTAAGGTCAGTATCTTAATACTTTTGTCGAAAGCAAAAGTATCTCATTTCCTACAAATGTTGACTTGCGAAAGAGAAACAACTCAAATTTTGAAACATGCTACTGAATGTTAGAAATTTAATAGTTTTCAAGGATTTTTGCCATATTCACAAATTTCAAGGGCATATCCACACTTGAACTGCTTAAATATCATTCCAGGCTTATTTTTAGTTTTCAACTAAGCTCTTAATCGTCCTAAGTCTGTGTAAGTTTTGAATGAAATTTAATTCCCATAACCCTAAAATTTAGCTTTTTCCACTTTATCAAGTGCTTGACTCGAGTGAAATCAGTCAAACTGAATATGTATCTCATGGTCCATAACCTCATATACAAATTACAAATGATATGGAAGAGTACGCTAGTTATTATGTGGGAGCCAAAAGTTTTACTATCCTTTGCTTTAGCAAGGGGCATTATCTGGAAAGACAAGAGTGAAATTGGTCAAATTCAATCTGGATCTCTGTTAAGTGGTCGCTTATTATATTCAATTGATTTGGTATAAGCTTATTCAAATTAGCATGTGGAAACCAATTTCAAGACATACATATGAGAGCACAACTATTAGCCCCCTTTGCCTCTCAAAAGGGCATAAAAGGTGAACTTATCATGTTAAAAGGTTAGACAATTAGTATAGACATGTCTCCATACATACATACAGCTCCTAATTAACAATGATTTTCGGTTTTTAAAAAAATAATGTATTTAAATTTGATTTTTAAAAATCATTAATCCTGCCCAACAGTTGGATATCTGTGTTAAAACAAATAAACATATTAGTAATAAACAAATCAGTGCTTGTCTGCTCTAATGTTAACTTCTTTGACACTGTTTCAACATCGTATATATGTACTGGTAATGTATTGAGGGTTAGGAGATGTCACTTTGGTGTATTCAGATTATAACAGTTCAACTGGATTTTCTGGAGTATCTGAGCTTTCTTTAAATTAAATAATTTCTAACCTCACCTAACCAGCATAGTTTTAATAAAATGCTTCGCTGGGCGCAGCTTGATACGACCGCAGAGGTCGAACCCTGAACAGTTGGGGCAAGTATGGACACAACATTCAAGCTTGATAGAGCTCTGAATTTGGATTGTGATTAAATATTTGACACAGCATAGGTTTCTGACACAGAAAGAATGTGGTCTAAGAACTTCAATTTTTTTAATTTACCTATTATGGTCCAATGTCCAAAATCAAAATACATGGTTAAATTCAGCATATCAAAGAACCCCATATATTCAATTTTTGTTGAAATCAAACAAAGTTTAATTTTGGACCCCAACTTGGACAAACTTGAAAACTGGTCCCATAATCAAAAATCTAAACACATGTTTAGATTCAGCATATCAAAGTACCCGAAGAATTCAATTTTTGTTAAAATCAAACTAAGTTTAATTTTGGACCCTTTGGACCTTAATGTAGACAAATTTAAAAAATGGGACCCAAAATTAAAAATCTAAAAACATGGTTAGATTTGGCATATCAAAGAACCCCAATAATTCAATTTTTGATGAAATCAAACAAAGTTTAATTTTGGACCCTTTTGACCTCAATATGAACCAATTTGATAGCGGGCCCACAAATAAAAAATCTAAATACATGGTAAGATTCAGCATATCAAAGAACCCCATATATTCAATTTTTGGTGAAATCAAACAAAGTTTAATTTTGGACCCCAATTTGGAACAACTTGAAAACTGGGCCAAAAATCTAAAATCTAAATACATGTTTAGATTCAGCATATCAAAGAACCCCATATATTCAATTTTTGTTGAAATCAAACAAAGTTTAATTTTGGACCCCAACTTGGACCAACTTGAAAATTGGTCCCATAATCAAAAATCTAAACACATGTTTAGATTCAGCATATCAAAGAACCCAAAAAATTCAATTTTTGTTAAAATCAAACTAAGTTTAATTTTGGACCCTTTGGACCTTAATGTAGACCAATTTAAAAAACAGGACCCAAAATTAAAAATCTAAATACACGGTTAGATTTGGCATATCAAAGAACCCCAATAATTAAATTTTTGATGAAATCAAACAAAGTTTAATTTTGGACCCTTTTGACCTCAATATGAACCAATTTGATAGCGGGCCCACAAATAAAAAATCTAAATACATGGTAAGATTCAGCATATCAAAGAACCCCATATATTCAATTTTTGTTGAAATCAAACAAAGTTTAATTTTGGACCCCAATTTGGACCAACTTGAAAACTGGGCCAAAAATCTAAAATCTAAATACATGTTTAGATTCAGCATATCAAAGAACCCCATATATTCAATTTTTGTTGAAATCAAACAAAGTTTAATTTTGGACCCCAACTTGGACCAACTTGAAAACTGGGCCCATAATCAAAAATCTAAACACATGTTTAGATTCAGCATATCAAAGAACCCTAAGAATTCAATTTTTGTTAAAATCAAACTAAGTTTAATTTTGGACCCTTTGGACCTTAATGTAGACCAATTTAAAAAACGGGACCCAAAATTAAAAATCTAAATACACGGTTAGATTCGGCATATCAAAGAACCCCAATAATTCAATTTTTGATGAAATCAAACAAAGTTTAATTTTGGACCCCAATTTGGACCAACTTGAAAACTGGGCCAAAAATCTAAAATCTAAATACATGTTTAGATTCAGCATATCAAAGAACCCCATATATTCAATTTTTGTTGAAATCAAACAAAGTTTAATTTTGGACCCCAACTTGGACCAACTTGAAAACTGGGCCCATAATCAAAAATCTAAACACATGTTTAGATTCAGCATATCAAAGAACCCTAAGAATTCAATTTTTGTTAAAATCAAACTAAGTTTAATTTTGGACCCTTTGGACCTTAATGTAGACCAATTTAAAAAACGGGACCCAAAATTAAAAATCTAAATACACGGTTAGATTCGGCATATCAAAGAACCCCAATAATTCAATTTTTGATGAAATCAAACAAAGTTTAATTTTGGACCCTTTGGACCTCAATGTGGACCAATTTAAAAACAGGGCCCAAAATCCAAAAACTTAATACACGGTTAGATTCAGCATATTAAAGAACCCCAAGAATTCAAGAATAAAACCCCATTGAAATTGATCAAGAAATAAGCAATTTATACGAAGTATCTTCTTTTGCACAATACTGTGCAATTGAATATTTCTTGCTATTGCGCAATACTGTACAATTGACAATTTCTTGCTATTGCGCAATATTGTGCTATTGGATATTTCTTGCTATGGCGCAATACTGTTAAATTGAAGATTTCTTGCTATTGCGCAATACTGTGCAATTGAAGATTTCTTGCTATTGTGCAATACTGTGCAATTGAAAATTTCTTGCTATTGCACAATACTTATTATATAATAATTTACACATCCTGTTTGGTGTGTATCTCCTACCATATCATTATTATTTGCTTTTAAATATAAATCAGAAATAACCAACTTAAAATGGAAAATTTTAAAAGAAAAAAAAAAAGGAAAAAAAGAAAAAAAAAAAATCCCCCCCCCCCAAATTTTTTGAACCCCCTTATGATTCATCACCCCCAAACTCAATCCCAGCCTTCCCTTTGTGGTATGGTACCTTGCAGTACAATTTCAGAGAGATCCATACACTTGAACACAAGTTATTGTCTGGAAACTAGAAAAATGCTTATTTTTGGCCCCTTTTTGGCCCCCAATTCCTAAACGTTTCGGGCAATTACCCCCAAACTCAACTCCAGCTTTCCCTTTGTGATATGGAACCTTGTAGTACAATTTCAGAAATATCCAAACACTTACACACAAGTTATTGTCATGAAACTAGAAAAATGCTTGTTTTTTGCCCTTTTTTTGGCCCCTAATTCCTAAAATTTTGAGGCAATTACCCCCAAAATCAATTACAGCCTTCCCTTTGTGATATGGAACCTTGTGGTACAATGTCAGAGAGATCCATACACTTACACACAAGTTATTGTCTGAAAGTTACAAAAATGCTTATTTTTGGCCCCTTTTTGGCCCCTAATTCCTTAACTGTTGGTACCATAACCCCCAAAATCAATCCCAACCTTCCTTTCGTGGTATTGAACCTTATGGTGAAATTTCATGGAGATCCATTCACTTAAACTAAAGTTAGAGTGCGAAAACCAATGTGTCTTCGGACGACGCCAGACGACGCCGGACGACGACGACGACGACGACGACGACGACGACGCCAACGTCATACCAATATACGACCAAAAAATTTTTAATTTTTGCGGTCGTATAAAAAGTAGTTGAGCTTGAATCTATTAGTGTTTAACTATTGTGGTAGGATTTTACTATCAGAGGAATATAACAAACAACTAAATAGCTTCAACAATTTAATGACCATGACTCGGAACAACTTTTATGTACAATATATACAAATTAACATTCACATAAAATCTATCATTCTTAGAACAATCTTTCTCACATTTTGTGACAAGTTCAATGAGAAATAAATAAATAAATTTGGATTATGATTTAAATGTTCTTGTCACATAAAAGATGAAGATATAACATCACATGACCATAAATTATCCACATTTACAAAACAATACAAAACTTGGATTGCTGCATGTATGATTTTATAGAAATTAAAAGGAAAAATGCTGAACATTAATATGGATAATTTTAATGAGATGTACATGAATTTTACAATGATGAAAATAGAACTGATGTGAATAAAGAACTGGATTCACTACAATGAATTGTTAGTAATTATTATGTAAGTCATGAATATCAGTAGCTATTTATGAATTATTGTAGATTCAGTTCATGTTTGGCTTCTACAATACAGGTTATATAAATTGGTTTTTGGTTAAATCAATGTTTTTAATGTTATATGGGACATTAATACTGCAAATAAAATTCTCTCCTTAATGTGAAAATGTACAATCAAAATTATGTGTTGAATGTAAATAAGACATGTACCCAATGGATATGATCAATTCATGAATAGTTGATAAATTTGACATGAGCTTGACTTTATGTGCACAATTTAGGTTATAATAAATATATTACTAGATCTTATCCCACCAGCTGAAGTCTTGTTACCATGCAAGAGAGAAAATTGTCATTTTCAGCTTGGAGAGAAAAATTTATTTCTGGAAAGAATTGATTTATATTTACTACAAACAAATATGAAAAAATTTTATAAACAAAATTCATTGTGTAATTAAAAAAAAAATGGAGAACCTACAGTTTTCTTTATATTTTAGCCTAATGGATGATCGATGGACATGATGTAACTAGAGACTACTATATGATTTTACATCAGAGCAAATATGCACTGTTTAACAAAGCATGCTGTGAAATAACTAAACTGTGACATGCATCTTCATTACCTTGGAATTATTAGTCCTGTTTTGTCTTGGTAACCAGTTTTATCCGAGGAAATCAGGAATGTCAATAAACCATCCACTAGGTTATTAAGTCAATTTGTAACAATAACAGAAATGTAACAGACAGTATCACAAAAGGTGCTTTTACAGATGCTGTCACACCAACACCAATATTTGAAGAAAATTGCATGTTTTGAAAAATATATGAATCAGTTAGGCTGTAAATTTAAAAAAAAATTTGAAAACTAATAAAAAATCTCCAAATATGTCTTCTTCAGGTCAATTACAGTTGAAGGTCAAACAGTGCAAACATCCTTACTGGATAAATATGAAAGGGCTAGATGAAAAATGTTAATATTTTGCCCAGACATTAAAGGCTAAATGATTTATCAATGTTTGAACGATTAGTTTTGTGAACTTTGTTTGATAGATTGCTGAAATATTGTGTTTCTGTGTTCCTATTTTGTATTTTCCATAAAAATCAAATATGCAAATTTGTTCCCAACAATTCAATCCTAAATTTTACATTGTAATACAAAAAGTTGCTCACTCGACAAAATCCATTGTATTCAGTAAAATAAGTCTGTATAAGGCATCCATTTGAAACTGTAGACCATAGCTCTTTATTGCTAATAATTATTGAATAAGAAACAGAAAGCTTAAAGGTGCTTTTTGATAATGGACATTTGGTCCAGGAAACAATATCATATACTCATCTAAACAAAATTTACTGGACAATCAATAATCAAATAACTAACAATTTCCAAAAAATTTTATCGACATTTAGTCCAGTAACAATCTAATTTTGATGATATGACAAGTGTTTTTAATGTTTTTCACTGTCAAACCAGTGCTCTTCATGAACTCGGAACATCTCTTTTTGTGATGACATTACCATTTGTTTTTAATTCAACAGTCAATATAACATGAATAATCTATTGGTCCCAAATCAAATAAAAAATAATAAATATTTATTTATTATTTAATTTAAATAAATAAATAATTATAAATTATCTTTTATAAAGATTGCTTCTTTCATATTTAAGTGAGTATTATAGAAAAAAACATACACATTACAGTGGTATAAGTATCTTCATCCTGTCATCAATACACAGAAATATGTTTACATCTAGAGGAGCAATAAAAAAAAGTGTCCCAAAATAAGCTGGAGTAAAATTGGTCCTAATTCACTTTATGAAGTAACAGATGCACCAACATTTTTCAAATTTAAATTCAACAATATTAGAGAACATGCATCTTTGAATGGAATTGGATATATAAAGTGAAAATTGTACATGCTTCCTGAATGAAATTAGTTTAAAAAAAGGAGGTATGATAAGAGCCATTATGTTGGCGCCTTAAATTGTAAAAATAACAAACTTAGTTTGAAGCCCTAGTACCAAAATGTAAGACAAAATTCAAAAATATAAATATGGATGTCCAACAGATAATGTCTTATAAACATCTGAAGGATGTTATTTAGTAGATTTACAATATTTTTTGATTTTCTATTTCAAGGGGCAAAAAAAGTGTTGAACTTACTTTACCTTCTCCTTAAAAAAATATTTCAATTAACATGTCAACTAATTAAAATGTCATATTCAATTTTCAAAATTGAAAGAATTATTAGTCTAGAATACTTTTACAAAAATTGCACAAAATGAGAGAAATGAATTCTACCTTTCCATCATGAAGTATTCCATTTCTCCGTTTGCAACAGTTCAATTTTAAAATAGTGAAGATTAACCACAAGCCTCCCTTTTTAACTTTTGAAAATGTAACTATCTTGAGTTGAGAAATGGTTTGGTAGAATATATATTGAACAGAAAACTTCCAATGCCATGTTCGCTTTAAAAAAAAACTCAAAATAAGTGAAATTTGTGTTATTAAGGCTTTTCTAGAAAATAATTACATAGGGAGTAGCAAAGCAATTCTTTATTTCTTGTTTTATTCATAACTATTATAATAGGGTAAAAAGTTAAACACTGGATAATATCATGACAGGTTTCCCTACCGCAACGAGACAAAAATGAATATCTTATCAATTTTTAAAAAATTTCAATAAAATTAATTGTTGGATAATAGCCCAGCAATTGGCTTTAAAACAGGTGAAATGTTATTAGTGAATTATCTGACATACAAATGACAAAATACCCTCTTATATAAGTCATTGCTAGAAAAGCATTAACAAAAATTTGTTGCACCACATAAGTCTGATTCAGCTTATAAATTGGTATAAAATGCCTACAGTAAAATTTTTGTTCTAAAAAAAGGCCATTCTAAACGAATGTTAAAACATAAAAAAGAATTTTGAATTGCTAATATTGTTTGATAAAATTTATAGTATTGTGCTAAAAAAAATGATTTAATGACATTTATATATGTAAAATAATGATGTATCCCTGAAGTTCTTATATAATGTAAAACAGTGATGTAAAACATGTTAAACGTATTGAGTGTGACTGTAGTATTGTGTAGTAAATCAAACCTTCAAAAGATATATTTAGACGCTAATATTTTTACATAAACAAAATACATAACAAAGTTTACAAATAATAAGTTAAAGAGTTTAACTATGTACAGCCTTGAATACAAATGAAAAGTTTTTTTAAACAGCACTAGTTTGTTGTACATTGACTTTTTCCCATTTGATTAAAACTTTGTCCCCGACAGAACAGAAAATTAATTGTAAAAGGTAAAACTTTTTTATAAAATTATTTCTCAGGTTAGGTTTCTCTAGTAAAACAATACCTACACAATACTTTTTGGAATGGAAAGCCCACCATTGTTCAACACTTACAAGTTGATGACTAGTGACACCAATCGTTGTGGTCCATTATAACATTATATTACCGATAGCTAGAATTATCCCACACAATTCCACGAATAAAGTCTTCAATTTCTCTGTCTAACTCTGGAGCATAATTGTTCATACTTGAAGAATGGTTGTATTGTGGTGGCTGATGTGGCATGGGTGTTGGAAGAGAAGAGTACGGGGAATATATAGAAACAGGAAAAGATGGAGGTGTGATTGGAGATATCCTGGATCCCAGTGGTGATTGTAAGGGTGCATTTGTCTGTGAAGGAAAATCTGTTGGGAAACTGAGTGATGGTGGTCGCTGTGATGTTAAAGGTGGTGGTACTATTGGTATGGATGGTGATGGAGGATTAGGGATAGTTCCATCTGATGACACAGGAGAAAGTGAGTGGGCCACAGATGAAGGTCTGTACGGAGACTTTGCTGGAGATAGTCCCTTGTTTGACATAGGTGATCCCAATCCAGAACTTGATGCAGATGACGGTGATCCGATATTTGACCCAGGTGACGACAACATGGGTGAATCGGATGAGATCATCGAATGCACTGGAGTAGGAGAATCAAGGCTGATTACCCGAGGACTGCTAGAACTTGTGTTTGATGGAGCTGGCTGTGGTGTTCTGGGTTCTTCATCATCTTCATCACTGCTGCAGGTCAGATCAATCACATCCATCTTAGGCTTCTTTTCAGGGGAGGCACCTGAAGTTATATATAAATAGTTAAATGTTTACTTTTCAGGGGAGGCATCTGAAGTTATATGTTAATAATTAAATGTTTACTTTTCAGAGGAGGCGCCTAAAGTTAAATATAAATAGTTAAATGTTTACTTTTCAGAGGAGGCGCCTAAAGTTAAATATAAATAGTTCAATGTTTACTTTTCAGGGGACGCACCTAAAGTTAAATATAAATAGTTCAATGTTTACTTTTCAGGGGAGGCGCCTGAAGTTATATGTAAATAGTTAAATGTTTACTTATCAGGGAAGGCGCCTATAGTTATATATAAATAGTTCAATGTTTACTTTTCAGGGGAGGCGCCTAAAGTTAAATATAAATAGTTCAATGTTTACTTTACAGGGGAGGCGCCTGAAGTTATATGTAAATAGTTAAATGTTAAATTTCAGGGGAGGCGCCTGAAGTTATATGCAAATAGTTAAATGTTTACTTTTCAGGGGAGGCGCCTGAAGTTATATATAAATAGTTCAATGTTTACTTTATACGGGAGGCACCTGAAGTTATATGTTAATAGTTAAATGTTAAATTTCAGGGGAGGCGCCTGAAGTTAAATATAAATAGTTCAATGTTTTCTTTTCAGGGGAGGCACCTGAAGTTATTTGTAAATAGTTAAATGTTTACTTTTCAGGGGAGGTGCGTAAAGTTAAATATATATAGTTCAATCTTTACTTTTCAGGGGAGGCGCCTGAAGTTATATGTAAATAGTTCAATGTTTACTTTTCAGGGGAGGCACCTGAAGTTATATATAAATAGTTAAATGTTTACATTTCAGGGGAGGCACCTGAAGTTATATGTAAATAGTTAAATGTTTACTTTTCAGGGGAGGCACCTGAAGTTATATATAAATAGTTCAATGTTTACTTTTCAGGGGAGGCACCTGAAGTTATATGTAAATAGTTAAATGTTAAATTTCAGGGGAGGCACCTGAAGTTAAATATAAATAGTTCAATGTTTACTTTTCAGGGGAGGCGCCTGAAGTTATATGTAAATAGTTAAATGTTTACTTTTCAGGGGAGGCGCCTGAAGTTAAATATAAATAGTTCAATGTTTACTTTTCAGGGGAGGCACCTGAAGTTGTATATAAATAGTTAAATGTTTACTTTCCAATAAAAAACATAGAATGCAATTGAGGAAATTTCTTTCAATATGTATTTTATATCTTTAGTTCTTAAAAAGTGGCCACAATATAAAGACATTTTTTTTTAATATACCTTTGAGTATATTGTACATTTGGTATTCCCTACATTTTTGTTAGGAACTCAAGATAAGCCACCATCAACACTTTTCTTGTGTTCATCTTTCTCATTGATCTGTTGGTAAAATGTTATTCTAATGTGCAAGTTTATACCTGGTGAAAGTACACTTATGTAAAGATAAGTCATGTTGCACCAAATTCCATCTACTTACCACTTGGTTCTGACGTGGCAGGTCGTGTATTTTTGATGACAGGACTAGATATCACATGTGTTTCTTTCTTCAGGTTAAGTCTACACCAATTACCATCTTGATTAAACTGTATCTCATCAACATCAGGTGCTTGTTTTAAAATTTCAACAAATAACCTGAAACGATATTACAATACATGCCAAGTTAGTAGTAAGTTAATTTACACCTCTGCAGTATTTTACAATTTAAAGCTGTTTTTTTGTTGTTGTATAGAAATCATTATCAAATACTTAGAGTAAATAACTTGTAATTTTTACAGTATGATCACAGCATTAAATATATGTGAATTCCATATTTTCCAAATTAGTGTCTAGCAGGCTGATATGAAAAATTTATCACATGCTTTAGCTATTATCACATGCCTTTCCGTAACATTATCGCATGGCATTCCGGCTTTACTCGGCAAATTCCAGTGAAAAACATAACAAAGTAGGATACAAAACAATTATTAGGAGACAGGAAAATATATTTTGAAAAATACGAAAAAACAAATGATACAATAAATGCGTTTTCAAAGTTTCAAGCATAATTTAGAAAGTTACTTTACAAAATTGTTGTTGACCTTTCCAAACAGTGTTCATTATGTTTTGTTGATTTTTTTTTATCGTCAATATTAAATATATTATACTGCTATTTTTCTCCTCTGTTGAGGTATATGATAGAAAGATTTCATATCGGATGTATTACATTTATTGTCCAACATCCATACACTTTTCACTTTTTGAACTTCTACTTGAGAACCGCTTAAAAGGATCAATATATTAAACTGTTATTTTTATCCATTGATGAAGCATATGATAAAAAGATCATACACGTCATTTTTCATATCAGATGTATAATCAGTCCTCGGTCAATATCAGCCCTCGAGCCTTTGGCTCTTGGACTGATATTGCCTCTTGGGCTGATAATACATCTGATATGAAAAATACCATGTAATAATCTGATATACTATCATGGTCGCAACTATAATTTTTCTTCTCAGATTGTTCTAAGATGGATGTAAAACAGTACAAGTCGTATTGTGAAGAAGAATGATTTAAATTTATTGATTCGTTCTAAGAAGTGTTTTCTGTATTGCAACCATGCCTGAAAATTGTAATCAGAAAGATTGACCAACAGCATTGGCCATTGGAATCATGGGAGCAATGGATCAAGGATTGTTATATTACTGAGACCTACTTATGGCACACCTTAAATAAACTCTTAGATTAGTTTTAAGGCTAGTGTTCAACTTAACAGACATGTAAAGGACACTTACACTAGTATTTTAATTCACTATCAGTCATCACTTACACAGTAATTTAGACATCACTATATGAACAAAACTGGTACTTTATTAAAATCAGACAGGTCTTTACTGTTTAACTCTGGTAAGCAGAAAAAGTTATCTGACTTATCAGCTTTTCCAAGTTGTTGCCATTTTTTCTCAAATAAATATGCTTTCTTATATTTTATTATTTAAAATTGTAGGAATTATAATATGTACAAAATATATATATACATATATATATATACAAATCTAAATTGAAAACAACGTTCAAACCTATGATTGCGTTGGATAAAAACCGCAATTTTTATATGTGTGCATGCAAAACAAATTATATATTGGGTGTTTCACAAAAGAAGGCTTATGAGGCTGAAACCTGTTAAAAACTGTTCCTTAAATGAATATTTTAAACAAGTATGATAATTCAGCATTATTATCATAAATTAACAAATGTAAGCTACTGTATGACAGAGATATGAAGTTTGATATAGTTGACCTTTTTTTAACCATGTCTTAAGATTCCCATAAGTGAAATTTCAATTCAAATGACCCAACTTTCAAAATTACAAAATGACTGAAACGACATAAAAGTATTTTTGCAACTTTGATCCTGTAATTTGATTATGGAGGCCAACAGGATACAGACCAGAATCAACTTGAGATTTAAAAATTAACTTAAATGAGTAATATTTTTTACTACCTCTGGAGTTAGTTTTTTTTAAAATTTTATATAACTATTCTTTATAACATAAGTTGAATGAATTTTTTATCAGGCTATTTATAGCTAATCACATCTTCAAGTCCTTTTACTGTCAAATTCACTGATAATAACCTACCCATCAATGACTAATTTATGGAATGGAGCAGGTCTATCACAAACAGGACACATCCATGTAGGTTTCTTCTCGTTCATCATAAGATATAACATGGCATCACAACACTGTAAATGTGTACACGAACTAGCTCGTATTGGAATACTCATCCGACTTTTACCAAGCTGAAGTACAAACAAAATTATATATAAATGAAAATAAGAACGACACAAAAACTATTGTAGAAGACTTAAAAATAAATTGTTTCTTTACTTTAAACTCTCGCCCTTAATGTTTTTTTCAGTACCAAAACTGTTGTAGAAGACTTAAAAATAATTGTTTCTTTACTATAAACTCTCGCCCTAAATGTTTTTACAGTACGATGGATTCTAATTATGAAATGGACATTACATCATCTATATTTCTAAAGGAAAGGAATACTCTCCACCTTCAATTGATGTCACAATAAATCTGGTGCAGAATTGTATAATTTGTGTCATGTTCCACCTGTTAAACTGATGTGTTGTTTGAGCATTTACTATGCAATGATTTATCTGTATCAACAATCAAGAAGAATCAAGCATACACATATAAGGCAACTGATATAACCACAAAAAAAATTAAAACTGTAAATCAATCAAAAGCATCGTCTTTTATTGCCATCTTTAATATAATAAACTGTTATCACAGAGATATGTCTCGCCTTTTTGTAATTTTGATTATGCAAATGTTGAAATTAAAATAGCAATACTTTAACATGTTACATAAGTTATGCAAATATTCAAAGTCAATGAACCATGACTAAGGTACATGGCTATGCAATCTCCATGTAAATGAGATGTGCCAATGCTAATACAACTGCATACCAAATACCATTGACTTATTATAAGTTTGTTCCCTTTTAACAAACCTTAACACAAACATTAACTTGTAAACTATGTAAGAGTTTTAAAGTCAATGAACCATGAAGAGGGGGTGGGGTTATAGATATAAGAAGATGTGGTATGAGTGCCAATGAGACAACTCTCTATATATTCTCCACGGAAACAATACTTGCAAATTACAATAAATTTGCATACCAAATATCATTGACTTAATATTAGCAGTTCATCTTAAACTGATCTAATCACAAACTAACACATGTAAACTAAGCAAGTTTCAAAGTCAATAGACCATGACTGAGGGGGTCGGGGCCAAATATTCTCCATGGAAATTAGATGTGCTAATGCTTATACAACTGAATACCAATTAACATTGGCCTACCACTTACGGTTCCCCTTGAACTGACCTAATCACAAACTAATACATGTTAACTAAGCAAAATTTTCAAAGTCAATAGACCACGACTAAGGGGGCGGAGCCAAATAATCTCCATGGAAATGAGATATGCCAATGCTTATACAACTGCATACCAAATATCATTGATCTACCACTAGTGGTTCCCCATAAACTTATCTAATCACAAACTAATACATGTAAAATAAGCAAAAGTTTCAAAGTCATTAGACCATAACTGAGGGGGCAAGTCCAAGGCTGTCAAGCCCTCGCATGGTCAGATTGGTGCCCTAAGGCATTTGGTGAGCATTTAAATATTTTTGTTGATGTCGTCAAGCTGGAAAAAGGCGGCCATTTTGGTTTCGCTGGATCGATTTGGTTTGTTTACTATTTTGGTTTGAAGTTTACTGCCTTCGTAACGGCTGTTTCCAGGGCCAGGTAGGTCAGCTGTGGTTTCTATTATCAAAAGTAGTATGTTGTTGAACCATCTATCAGTAGTCCAACATTGTAGATTGCGGGAAAAGTGGAACTGACCGAGCACATCTGTTCAGCTGTAAATGACTGAGACAGGATTGGGTGACCTTGAGTGTAGGGAATGATGAATATTTTATTTGCAGTTCATACACTTATTCTGTGAGAAAGACAGTGGCATCATTTCTATCTTTCTTCATTTAACTTCTTGAGTGTATTCTAGTATTGGTTTTGTGTTACCTTAAACCTTGGTGGTTATTTGAATTTCAATTGTTTTTTTAATACTTTATTTCAATAATAACTTCAATCCTTTGGTCTGGTAGATAGTTGTCTTATTCGCCATCATACCATATATCCTTATTCTTAATTCAAGCAATTTCATACAACTGACCACATTAAGGACATCTCTAGAACTAGTTAGCGCAAGGCTTCAGTGATCTTCTTTAGAACACATACAACAAGTTGTATACATCCTGATAGAGGTAATAATGCTACAGTGACCTCCTTATTGTACCCCTTTAATACCTCGCTCTACTTACCGGACACATTAAGGATACTCTAAGACTAGTTGTATCTATCTCGCTCTACTTACCGGACACATTAAGGATACTCTAAGACTAGTTGTATCTATCTCACTCTACTTACCGGACACATTAAGGATACTCTAAGACTAGTTGTATCTATCTCGCTCTACTTACCGGACACATTAAGGATACTCTAAGACTAGTTGTATCTATCTCGCTCTACTTACCGGACACATTAAGGATACTCTAAGACTAGTTGTATCTATCTCGCTCTACTTACCGGACACATTAAGGATACTCTAAGACTAGTTGTATCTATCTCACTCTACTTACCGGACACATTAAGGATACTCTAAGACTTGTTGTATCTATCTCGCTCTACTTACCGGACACATTAAGGATACTCTAAGACTAGTTGTATCTATCTCACTCTACTTACCGGACACATTAAGGATACTCTAAGACTAGTTGTATCTATCTCACTATCTGGATCACTTTGTAATTTTTCTTTGACTGAAATAACAATAATTTATTGAATGTTGTTCTCAATTTAAATACTTATTTAAAATCATCATTGATTGATGTCAGCTTAATGCACAGTGGCAAATATAACATGCATATCAGGACAAGAGCATGTTAATGCAAAATGAATATGAACCTGGCTTTTTACTAAACCAACACAAAGAGAAAGATATTTTTTAACATGCTTTTTCACAAGGTCCACAGGGGGAGATATCACTCTACTCAGACACATTCTTCTGATTCCAAGCAGACTAAGTTTTTTTCTCCATGCTTTGAGGAGAAGCTGAAAATACCAATTCTAAAGTATTTAATTTGAGCAAGCAGGGGATAGAACCCACAACCGCCCACAGGGTGAGCATTGTTTCAGTAATCCCTGGTGCTGTGATTGTTTTACTTAGAATATGGTCTTTTTAGATTTTAAGCATTGTTTGTATACTTGTATAACTTCTTAATATCTATGCTTGGTTTACACTTATTAAAGAAGAATTTTGATTTTTCCCTCATAACAGTTACTATCTTTTCTAAAGAACATATATCACCTTTGTGGTGGAGAAACTTAGTTGTGTACCAGAAAATATCTATCATAAACAGATAAAATATATTAAATATGCCATTCAATAATCCCTGAAAAGAGATACATTGTTGCTTGAATATATCCAAACTGAGAAACATGTTGTAATGGTAGACTACTTACTAGCTAGAAATTACATTTGATACTGAAAGTGACAAAGGAAGCTTTTTTTTCTTTTTCTTATTAAGGACATGTGATTGGGACATTAAGCATTTAAATGATAACAAACTTACTTAAAGCTCTCGTATGATCAGGATGTCTGTTTCCAAACTGTTTCAATCTCATCATTAAAATATCTGATGATAGTTTCTTTACTAAGTATATAGCCACACAGTATCCCTGAAATTATATAAACAGAATTTTCATATACATGATGATAATTGAAATAATAGTTAACAATATGTAATAAGACACAGATCCTTGTATCAGCTTAGTTTATACTGAAAGTTCAAATTAACATGATTATCTAATATATAGGCACGAATACCTTCTTTTTTCCAATTTCATACATGTGTTTCTCTTAAGTTAAAAAGTGAAAGTATATAAAGCATTATTACATAATATAGATAAATAAATCAATCAACCTATCCATGCAAACAAAAAGTTATTATTATAAAAAAAAAACAGATTTGTATAACTTGAATAAATCAATTACCAGCAAGACATAAATGAGAAGCTTCTAACCACAAAAACTTTGTAACATATCTAAATAATCAGGAATTTTCTTATTGTATTACCTATGTGTGAAGTTTCACTGATATTTATCTGATGGTTAAGGGTAGGTAGTCATTCCAATTATCTCCCTTTCATTAGAGTAAAACTGGAATTATATACCTTTGTGTGGTGTGCATGCTTTGTGTGAGATTAATACACCTTATCGCTATTTGGAAAGCTGTCCCGCTTGACCCGAGAATCTGTCCCGCTTGAACTTTTGACGTCATACAACAATCACTTTTCCATTGTGGCGTCAGATATTTTCTATTATGACGTCAAAATTTTACGGGAAAGTTTGTGACGTCCAGTAATGGCGGACAAATAGCGATAAGGTGTATTGTAATCCATTGACGATTTAAGAGTGGAACTTTTAAGGTCAATATCATATAACCAAATAAAGTCTTTATTTCAATTTTATCATGTGAACTTTCCACTTATGTAGCAATATTCAAACTGCACCTGCACATGGAATATATATCTCCAATAACACATCAATCTGAATAGGCATTGTAGGTGAAAAATAACAAAATGTTGTGACATCTATACATACCCGACCAAAGTCAGTGGCCCACAACACATCTGTCTGATTAGGCATTGTAGGTGACAAATAACAGAATGATGTGAGATCTATACATACCCGACCAAAGTCAGTGGCCCACGACACATCTATCTGATTAGGCATTGTTGGTGAAAGACGACAAAATGATGTGATATCTACTGGACGACCTGGACGTTTAGGTTCTACTCCTGGCTTTGTTGTTGGAATAGGATTCTGCAAAACAATGCAGGTTAAATAAAAAATAGCATTTCATTGTTAACATACTCAGGTCATTTGCGAACATTGCATATAAATATGTATGCAATCTTCAGGCATGTAAAAAAGAATATATAAGTTATTTCCCAAAGGTCTATGGTTTAACATTTGATGCTCTTATCTCCTTTAAAAAGGCAATGAAATTGTAAAAATCTATATTATCTAACAAGAGAATCCCTTTTAATGTGAGCAGTGTATGCATATTTAATAATAGTGTTTTCTGTCCAACGGTGTTCATATCATATTTAGAATCAGTCAATTAAGAGAATTATTAGTATAACTGTAGTTTGACCCCTATATTCTATTTTTAGACATGGAATCCATTTTTGTTGATTAACCTGGACAAAAAGGACAAACTTTATAGCTGACATCCTACAGATGTAGACAATCTTTGGTTTCAATCCATTGAGAAGTTTCAGGGGAGAAGATTATTAAAGAAAAGTTTACCAACGACAGACTACAGACACAAAGTGATGGCAAAAGCTCACATGGCCAGGTGAGCCAAAAACTATTTAGCAACTATAAAGTCAATTATTCTATACAGTGCCAAGTAACAGTACTGTGCCAGGACAAACAAATATTCCTTAGCTGTCCAGCTTGCTTCATGTGTTATGGTATTAATGTACTACCACTTTTAAGTATACTTACTGGCAATGGGGCTAGTTTACCATTAACCCTGACACATATACTGGGAGGAAAATTATCATCTTGTTCACAGCTTGTTTCTAATAAACAAAACCTGAAAAATAAAGAAGATGAAAATACTATTCTGGTCACAGCTCATCTGTAGGGGGCAAAATATGAAAAATAAATAATAAACTAAAATATCCTCATATCTCATAGCTTGTCTCTAAAAGACATAACTTTAAAATGATTGTGAATGTTTCGGTCTACATGGTCCTTTGAACTACTGTTCTGAAAACAAAAATAAAGAAATATACACCACATATTGAACTTAAGAATGGAAGAGCTTTAAATCACACATATAAGATTACAATGGTGAAATGCAGAAATCAGTACACTGTGACTGAATAATATAAGTTAACAAAGTTAATAAAATAAATGACTTTGGAGTTATTCTTAATCACTATTATTGACTTGAGGACCAGAAAATGGTGATGCTTTATTCTTATACTATATCATGTGTAAAAACAAAGCGGGCTGAGGACCCAAATGGCCGAACCTCAAGCTTGCTTATAATATGAGAAAATACTTTTGTGAGCATTTGATGTCACAGCTAGTTTTAAAAAATTAGGAAACTTAAGTTAGAGTACGGAAATGATTTTTTTTCAATTTTCTAAGAAAAAATTCGCAATTTTTCAAGTTATAAAGTGGCATAACTCTAGACCAGTAAGTGACTCACTGCCCAAATTTTAACTCTGTCTGCGAGTTTAGGGTTCTTAGCATTGTGTATTAGTTTCAAGGTTACCACTTAATGCCCCCTTCGCCTTGCATAAAAACATTAAACCAGAATTATATGTATATAGCATTATTATATTTACTTTTTTATCCTTAATCAGAAAATCTATATTAGTTTACTGATAATCTTTGAACTTGAAAAGGATTCTCACCATAGCCAATTTTCACATTTTCCGAGTAATAAAAATGACTGCCCTTGGACACGTACAAATTCTTGTGAACTTTTAATTATGATCATATTGTGGTCACAAATATAAGGTAGCAAACTTTATGATTTTGAAAGAAGAATCATACCAATTGTATCTAATGTAAAAATTTCAAATCTGTAAATCTTATACCTGCAGGTTTTAACTTGCCAATTACATTCTTTCCTTAAACCTATGTAGAATGGTAATAAAAGAAGGAATAAAACTTATGCCTTACATAAATTTTAGTGTCTTTTCATCTAAAAGGAGTTACTTGTCTGAATTGCCACTACTTTAAGTAAGCTCAGAAAACTGCGGTTTCATCCACAACAACAAGTAACAAATCTACCACATGTAGATGTGTCTAATGTTGTCATGGATACAGTCAACATGTTATGACTGAGTTCATGACCCCTGCAATTTCATCACTGCTATACAAACATTTTAAGAGGGTAGACTTTTGTAACTGTTTCTAATATTTGCATTATCACCCTACATACAGGTCATATTGTGACTGTTAATTCTAAGTATCTGAAAACAGGAAATTGGTATAGAACAGATAAGAAAAAGTGTACACACATTACAATACATCACTGTAGAGCTACTGAGCAAATATGAAGCAAATATTCTGTTCAGTAGTATTTGAGACATATGTGACGAAATATTTAAAAGTATCGACAAAAAGGAAGTAGTCATCAGGCAGATCTGAAAAGAGCTCACACAATACAGCTCATATCTATCATGCTGCTGATATCGCATGAGGTCATTCTGTTCAGTAGTGTCTGAGAAAAAGGTGACAAAAACAAGAATGACAAATGGACAGATATATGGACAAGGTTATTGAAATAAAGCCCAAACTCCTACTGTGAGAATACAATATCACTGTTATTCAAATAAGCTCAGAAAACTGCAGTTTCATCCACAAGAAGTTACAAATCCACCACATGTAGATGTGTCTAATGTTGCCATGGATACAGTCTACATATAATGACTGAGTTCATGACCCCTGCACTTTCATCACAGTCATACATCCACATTTTAAGTGAGTAGATTTTTGTGACATTCTCTTAAAAGAAAAAAATAATTGCCACCAATTATAAAGGTCATATTGTGACTGTTGAATGACTTTTTTGATGAGTTTATGGTGTTTGGTAGCTGTCTTATTGCTTAACTCGTAACTGCTTTTTCAATTTAGAAAGACATAATGGTATGTTTTATTCATAGTAAGTCTTATAATGCAAGTCTACTTTAAATTCAGAACTTTTTATAATATCTATATGCAAATATATGAATGGATGAATATTACATGAATATTGTTTCTTAAAAATTGATACCTTTGTTTGAATACAGCAATTCCTGAGGTCAACATCCATTATTTTCTCTTGTTTAACAATTCATTAATAAACACTATCCCAGGAACCCTGACTATTATCAAGGTAGTGGAGGTGGGAGGGGGGTGTTCTACCATCATCTTGAATTGTACTGTCGAGATTTTAAATGAAATCAATTTTTGAGAACTGGAGATCATATATTTGGTAACACATAAAAGGAAGCATACTTTATAATTTTGTCAGGAGAATTTGCCCACTTGCATTTGTTAACCATCAAGATTTCAACTAGCCAAGTACATTCCTATCAATTATTCTATTATGAATGAAGATAAATGATGGAATAAAAGAACTGAAGTCAGTTATAATTATAAGAGGTCTTTTCACCAAAATTAATAGTAAATTCTGCTTAATTGCCACTGTTCTTTATATAAGCTCAGAAAACTGCGGTTTCACCCACCACAACAAGTAACAAATCTACCACATGTAGATGTGTCTAATGTTGTCATGGATACAGTCAACATGTAAGACTGAGTTTATGACCCCTGCAATTTCATCACAGCTATACAGGGTAGACCTTAGAAACTGTTTCTAAATTGTTTTCATGGTCACCAAACCTTCAGGTCATATTGAGACTGTTGAACGTGTTTGTTGATGAGTTCATGTTGTTAAGTTGCTGTGTCATTGGTTAACCCATTACTCCTTTAATTCATGGTAGAAAGACATAATGGTATGTGTTTTTCATATTTAGTCTTTTGATACAAGTCTATTGTGAATTCAGATTTTTTTTTATCTTTTTATGCATTGATGAATATAAAAGAATATGGAGTTGCATTAAATTGTGATAGCTATTGTTGTATACAGCAATTCCTGAAGTTAACGTCTGTCATCTTAGATTGTACAGTATCAGAAAATGATCAGTCTAAATATTTAATCAAATCAATTCCAGGAAACTTAGATCATGTATCACTTAATAATTTGGCATGGTGAATCTGCCCACTAGGATAAAATGACAAAACCCCCCATTGGAAAAAAAATGTTTCTTTTGTTTATATCCCCATACTACCTTAAGAACATATAACTTACCGTAACTGTATCTGTGTCATGTATTCACATCTAGCACCTGGTCTGAAATCCCTAAAATATCAAATGTACAATAAATAACTCTGTATTTCATAGTAATATTGGTGTCAGACATTTAATTCTGACAATTCATTAAACTATACCATATATTACAGAATAGTTTATATAACCATGTTTGATATTCAACAATGTATATATAATACAGAAATCTTTTTGTTACTATTACCACATTTTAACTAGTTTTTAAATAAGAGATTCTAGATGATGAACCACTGATATACATTATAAACTGTTAACACAGGGATATGTCTCGCCTATTTGTTATTTTGATTATGCAAATGTTGAAATTAAAATAGCATTACATTAACATGTAAGATATGCAAATACTCAAAGTCAATGAACCATGACTGAAGGTACAGGGCTAAACAATCTCCATGGAAATGAGATGTGCCAATGCTAATACAACTGCAAACCAAATACCATTGACTTTTCATAAGTCGTTCCCTTTAAACAAACCTAAACACAAACATTAACTTGAAAACTATGTAAAAGTTTCAATGTCAATGAACCATAATTAGGTGGTGGGGTTATATAATCTCCATGGAAATGAAACTTGCAAATGCCAATACATTTGCATACCGAATATCATTGACTTAACATTAGTGGTTCATCTTAAACTGACCTAATCACAAACCAATACATGTAAACTAAGCAAAAATTTCAAAGTCAATAGACCATGACTGAGGGGGTAAGGACCAAATATTCTCCATGGAAATGAGATGTGCTTATGCTTATACAACTGCATACCAATTATCATGGACCTACCACTAACAGTTACCCTTAAACTGACCTAATCACAAACTAATACATGAAAACTAAGCAAAAGTTTCAAAGTTAATAGACCATGAATGAGGGGGCAGGGCCAAATAATCTCCATGGAAATGAGATATGCCAATGCTTATACAACTGCATACCAAATATCATTGACCTACCACTAGTGGTTCCCCATAAACTGACCTAATCACAAACTAATACATGTAAACTAAGTAAAGTTTCAAAGTCAATAGACCTTGACTGAGGGGGCAGGGCTAAATAATCTCCATGGTAATGAGATGTGCCAATGTTAATACAACTGCATACCAAATATCATTGACCTACCACTAGTGGTTCCCCATAAACTAACCTAATCACAAACTAATACATGTAAACTAAGCAAAGTTTCAAAGTCAATAGACCTTGACTGAGGGGGCGGGGCCAAATAATCTCCATGGTAATGAGATGTGCCAATGCTAATACAACTGCATACCAAATATCACTGACCTACCACTAGTGGTTCACCATGAACTAGACCTAATCACAAACTAATACATTGTTGACGCCGCCGCCGTCACCACCGGAAACAACATACCTATGTCTCGCTTTTTGACTCCGTCAAGGCGAGACAAAAACCAATATTCATATTTTCATCATGCCTATTTGTTGTTTCTTTACCTTGACATAGCTATATCCTGAGCTTGCTGTGGAGTTAGATGAAAATTAAAATGGGTTTCCTGAAATTTCGATGTTCCTCTAGGAGCTGCAATATAAAATTACAATGTTATTTGAGGGAAAGTATTGTATGACAAATTCCATAAATAAAAGCCTAAACCACACTGTATTATAATGAAGCAAAGAATATTATGTGTGTTTAGGGATTCCTGAAAAGCCTTAATTTTCAATTCTAAATCTATTTCAGGTTTCTTCAACATAAACTTTTCAATCAGTAAGTAATGATTAGTGTGTCACCAAGATTTAATGTAACTTTTATCAATCAGTAAGTAATGAATAGTGTGTCACCAAGATTTAATGTAACTTTATCAATCAGTAAGTAATGATTAGTGTGTATCGAAGATTTAATGTAACTTTATCAATCAGTAAGTAATGATTAGTGTGTCACCAAGATTTAATGTAACTTTATCAATCAGTAAGTAATGATAAGTGTGTATCTAAGATTTTATGTAACTTTATCAATCAGTAAGTAATGATAAGTGTGTCACCAAGATTTAATGTAACTTTATCAATCAGTAAGTAATGATTAGTGTGTATCGAAGATTTAATGTAACTTTATCAATCAGTAAGTAATGATAAGTGTGTCACCAAGATTTAATGTAACTTTATCAATCAGTAAGTAATGATTAGTGTGTATCGAAGATTTAATGTAACTTTATCAATCAGTAAGTAATGATTAGTGTGTATCGAAGATTTAATGTAACTTTATCAATCAGTAAGTAATGATTAGTGTGTCACCAAGATTTAATGTAACTTTATCAATCAGTAAGTAATATATAAGATGGTACTTAATTAGAATCAACACAAAGGAAAAGGATGACAGGCCAGAACATCGACATTCAAATTATAATATCTATATACCAAGACTTGTAGGTTTCATAAGCTCTGCTACTACATCATAAAATGGGAGATGTTTCAATCTTACGTCTGGATGGACAGGGAACATGGACGATTGTGCTGATGAAACAAGACTGGCTCCCGAAGAGTAGTCCAAGCCACCTGAAGTGAAATAAATATACACTTTAAATACCAAATATTCAAACACTATTAATTTTATTTAACTTTATGTTAATGATTTCCTAAAAAGAGTGCTCAGAAGAAAGACAATTTCATGACTGGCAACAGATTAACTCCTAATGCAAAGATAAAAGCTTTGGTCTTAGGTGGATATTTGTTTCATTAGCAATCATACTATTCCTTATTTTTATATTATTCATGTTATATGCAGATGTCTACAAACAAATCATCAAAATGCACTCCGTTCTTACTGTTAAACACAGGATATTAGTATTTACATAAAAACTTCTTATTGTAGTTGATATGTAATAGAATTTTGTCCGTGGATTTGGATTTATCTCCCTTATTGAGCACAATCTTATTACATTATTACCACACACAAAATAAGTTATATGAATAACCTGATAAGGTATTTCGTGGGTTAGCTCAGTATATTGCAGTTTCATCTATAAAAACATTTAGCAAATCTACCACATGTAGAAATGTTTGTGTCACTATGGATACAGTCAACATTTATGACTGAGTTCATGACCCCTGCAATTTCATCACAGCATCAGAATGTATTACAACATCATTGTGTTCTTTCATGAATAGCCTCAACAGGTCAGGTTAAAGGTATACCCACGAAATTTGAACCCCACTAATAATAATGAACACACAGAAACAAAAACTGTCATATAATCTTAGACAGCAGATTACAAAGTCAAATTATAGCAGATTTAAAATACCAGCATCAAATCTGATAAATAAACAACCTGAAATCATGTCATACATATAACACATTTATAACCAATATCATAACGTGACTTTATCCCAAATATTGTTCGGTGAAACTGGAAATATTGGTGAAACATTTAATGAACCAACAATGTAACCTGTCACATAGAAATAACATGCAATGACTACAGTGCAAGCTAAAGCTAGTTTAATCTCCATATCAATAACAAAAGAACCATCAGAGTAATAAACTGACTGTCAGATTTGTATATCCTGAACTATTACCTTATACATATACTTATTATATATGGCACAATTATTGAAAAATCATTTAATTTTTTGTCATCTGCATATTAAGCATATGAAACCAAAAACATAATAGGCTCAACAACAATTGAACAATGGTTTCCATCACAAATATATATATAATATACATTTCAATATTGAAATTGTTTGCAAATAAAATAAAAATATCATAAAATCAAGCAGAAAGTTTAAGGAAATAGATATTTAATGGTGACTTATAATTTATAGAGATTTTTACTTCTTCCGATTGGTGTTACTAAAATAGATCGAACAGATGCTAAGCTTGCCAGATAACTATATACTAGCAAGGTGGTATACTACATGCATATCAAAATAACAGAAATAAAATGACTTTAAATATCTAATTTGTAATGCAGAATGCATTTCATTTTAAATTCTAATTATAAATATGTGTTAAGTGCTGCATATTGGGTGAATGACTCAAGTGGCTCAAAGTGAAATTTAAGTCTCAGTTTAATATACTATTTATTATAGTTGTGCTGCTGTTGAAATTTCAAAAAGAATCCTTTAATAATTCCCGCAAACCTCCTTAGAAAACCGAGCTGATAGGATAAATGATGATATTCAGAAAACTTTCATCAGGAACTTGATAAATTTGGTTCATTGAAAATGTATTTACCCTTTCATAATAAAGTTCTCAGCATATAAAAGGGAAATGGAAGTCAGCACTCTGATCTAAAGCACAACATCACAATTAGAAGACATTCAAATTTAAGCTAGATGATTTAATGTCATATCAACTCTTTATATACATGATATACAGACAAAATAAAGTTAATATCTTTTATTTTAATATATAAACAATTGAAAGTCAATGAACTCTGTATCTAGAGTCAAAAACCAATTTGACATGTGCCTTTATAATAAATGAATTTGAACCAGCAATGAAGAGTGACCTTTTGTTGCTGTTGGGAGGTCTGATCGTGACTTCAAGTTAAAGACAATAAAACCATTTTTCTTATACTTTGGGTTTTTTGAAGTGCATATAATTTTTTTTTTATATTTTAAGTATAAATATCCCTTTTTTGCTTAGTTCTTTCAGTCTATAAGGTTTAATTTTTGAGATACATGTTTAATCCAAAGCTTATTTCTAATTACTGGAGCCTAAAAATAATATCAAGTCAATTTCACATACCGGTATAGCAATTCAAACACTAAATAGTGTTGACTTGTCACAATGTGTAACATCCCAGGGGTTTATATGACATTTTTATTTTGGGGCCTGTGCGAATTAAATTGAGACCAAACATATTCAATTAGGCCACGCTAATTTAATTCCTTGTTTGCCCGAACCCAAATATTTCAAATTTTGATTAAATCAAACCATATCATTATTATTTGCTTTTATATATAAATAAAAAATAACAACTTATAATGGAAAATTTTAAAGAAAAAAAAAAAGGAAAAAAAGAAAAAAAAATCCCTTCCCCAATTTTTTTGAACCCCCTTATGATTCATCTACCCCAAACTCAATCCCAGCCTTCCCTTTGTGGTATGGTACCTTGCAGTACAATTTCAGAGAGATCCTGACACTTGAACACAATTTATTGTCTGGAAACTGTAAAATGCTTGTTTTTTGGCCCCAAATTCCTATACATTTAGGGCAATTACCCCCAAGCTCGAACCCAGCTTTCCCTTTGTGATATAGAACCTTGTAGTACAATTTCATAAAGATCCATACACTTACACACAAGTTATTGTCCTGAAACTAGAAAAATGCTTGTTTTTTGTCCCTTTTTGGCCCCTAATTCCTAAAATTTTGAGGCAATTACCCCCAAAATCAATCCCAGCCTTTCCTTTGTGGTAAGGTACCTTGCAGTACAATTTCAGAGAGATCCATACACTTGAACACAAGTTATTGTCTGGAAACTAGAAAAATGCTTATTTTTGGACCCTTATTCCTAAACATTTTGGGCAATTACCCCCAAACTCAATTCCAGCTTTCCCTTTGTGATATGGAACCTTGTAGTACAATTTCAGAAAGATCCATACACTTGCATACAAGTTATTGTCATGAAACTAGAAAAATGCTTGTTTTTTGCCCCTTTTTTTACCCCTAATTCCTAAAAATTTGAGGCAATTACCCCCAAAATCAATCCCAGGATTCTCTTTGTGATATGGAACCTTGTGGTACAATGTCAGAGAGATCCATACACTAACACACAAGTTATTCTCTGGAAGTTACAAAAATGCTTATTTTTGGCCCCTTTTTCCTCAACTGTTGGTACCATAACCCCCAAAATCAATCCCAACCTTCCTTTTGTGGTATTGAACCGTATGGTAAAATTTCATAGAGATCCATTCACTTAAACTAAATTTATTGTGCGAAAACCAATGTGTTTTCTGATGACGACGACTACGCTAACGTCATACCAAAATACGACAGCAAAATTTTTTTAATCTGTCATTTAAAAACGTGATTCAGGATTCAGACTTTTTTTTTTAGGGGAAAGCAAGATATAGGGGAAAAATCATATGATTAAGCTGAAAAGAAGAAACAACATAAACTAGTTACAGTGTTGATATCTACAGAAAACATACTAAACTGAAAGATTACTAAATCATACAGTTTCTATGTGACAGTACAAAGTTAGGCAATAATCACCTCTGTAATGCAGTCCAGTTTCCAGTTTCACTGCAAAATTCAAAAGGTTTTTTTTATAGCATCCCATTTGAACAAACAAAATGTTACATTTTTAAATACAAGAGGCCAGCTTGTTTGACTGTAAACAAAAATGTATACAAATGGAATAGAACTAAAAAATTCCATATGATAAAATGTCAAATTCAGTGTATTCAAATGGACTACTTTGAAATCTTAACTTAAAATAACACAAATGTTCATGCTAAGTCAGTCTTAGTGCCCTGTAAATAAGAACTTGAACAGATGTTAACAACAACCCAGTACCAAGTTTACCATTTTTATCCATATCACTTCCATCCTTAGCTGTAAATTAAAACTGTGTAATGATATCATTTACGTTTAGACAAAAACTCATGTGTATTAGTGTTCTCAATATCCACTTAGTATGGGTCTTAGCTTCAGCAAAGTAATTGAGAATTTCACAGAGACATGTATATTCTACTTTGCACAGTTGATTTGCTTAATTAAAAACTTTTTCAAAAACCTGGGTGTATCATATGCATTTAAAATTTTTACACGAACTATGTAACAGAAATGAGAACATGTATTTCCTTCTGTCATATGTACCAATAGCATAACTGATACATTTGGAAGTTTACAGGAAGATGATAAACCTATAATGTGTATTGTACCTTTCAATTTTATACAACAATTAGTAGAAAAACATGAAAAGAAACCTACAAATACCATATCCTATTGTAAAAGAAAGACATGCTTGTTTATGTTGCAAGTTTTAGAAATAAAAGATGACTTCCTCTTCCACAGAGGTCTTAATTTCTAAGTTTAAGTACTGAAAACAAAGGCAACTTACCGAACCAGTTTGGTGTATAAGTTGTATTACTGCCTATAACAGAATATAAAACTTTATGTCTACCTTATACTGTGATGATGCAATATCTACTCATCCAGTAAAAGATCAGGACAATATCCATCAAAGACAGGTGCTGATAATACCATCCATTAACAAAACAATACCCCTCCAATAAAAAACAAGGGCCATTCCCATCAAGTAAAAGTCAAGGACAATACCCCTCCAGCACAAAAACAAGGGCCATTCCCATCAAGTAAAAGTCAAGGACAATAACCCTCCAGTAAAAATACAAGGGCCATTCCCATCAAGTAAAAGGCAAGGACAATACCATCCATTAACAGGTAAGGACAATCCCCCTCCAGTAAAAATACAAGGGCCATTCCCATCAAGTAAAAGGCAAAATATAATCCAATCACATGTGATCATTATTGAAGCCAAATGCATAATTTAAATTAAGAACAGCAATTAAAGAATAATTTATTGGATAATTAATTTATCTAGAAAAAAAATTCTGGTCTAAAAAAAATGTCTAGTTTCTTAAGCCTCCTTTCCCTACTGTAAAAATCAGCAAAGCAGTGCTCTGTTAGTGTTATGCTGAATATGTTCACGGAAAATGAACACATTGACTATCTACAATCACAATGAACATAATTGGTTTCACTCCAATATAGGCTACATCAATCTTACATATTGTTGAGTGAAAAATTTCATAGTTCATAATACAATACTTGCCAGGCATTTCAAATATTTGTGAGAGGAAAAATATCCTATTTCACAAAATACAGTGACAGAAACTGTTTCTGTATTTAATTGATTTCTACACTGCAAATTTGATGACCATGCAATTTGTGCAGAGATTTTAAAACATCCCTGTAAAACATAGTCTGACACTTACTGTATAAAGTCTTGTTTGGGACATGAACAATATCTTTCCTTATAATTTAAAAATAAAATGCTCCGCAGGCGCAGCTTGATACGACCGCAGAGGTCGAACCCTGAACAGTTGGGGCAAGTATGGACACAACATTCAAGCTTGATACAGCTTTGCATTTGGATTGTGATTAAATATTTGACACAGCATAGGTTTCTGACACAGAATGAATGTGGTCTAAGAACTTAAAAATTTTAAATTGGACATTCACCTATTATGGTCCAATATCCAAAATCTAAATACATGGTTAGATTCAGCATATCAAAGAACCCCAAGAATTCAATTTTTTATGAAATCAAACAAAGTTTAATTTTGGACCCTTTTGACCTCAATGTGGACAAAGTTGATAACGGGGCCCAAAAATCAAAAATCTAAATACATGGTTAGATTCAGCATATCAAAGAACCCAATGTATTCAATTTTTGTTGAAATCAAACAAAGTTTAATTTTGGACCCCGATTTAGACCAACTTGAAAACTGGGCCCATAATCAAAAATCTAAATACATGTTTAGATTCAGCATATCAAAGAACCCTAAGAATTCAATTTTTGTTAAAATCAAACTAAGTTTAATTTTGGACCCTTTGGACCTTAATGTAGACCAATTTGAAAACGGAACCAAAAATTAAGAATCTAAATACACGGTTAGATTCGGCATATCAAAGAACCCCAATAATTCAATTTTTGATGAAATCAAACAAAAGTTTAATTTGGACCCTTTGGACCTCAATGTGGACCAATTTAAAAATGGGGCCCAAAATCCAAAAACTAAATACACGGTTAGATTCAGCATATTAAAGAACCCCAAGAATTCAAGAATAAAACCCCATTGAAATTGGTCAAGAAATAAGCAATTTATACGAAGTATCTTCTTTTGCACAATACTGTGCAATTAAATATTTCTTGCTATTGCGCAATACTGTGCAATGGAAGATTTCTTGCTATTGCGCAATACTGTGCAATTGAAGATTTCTTGCTATTGTGCAATACTGTGCAATTGAAAATTTCTTGCTTTTGCACAATACTTATTATATAATAATTTACACATCCTGTTTGGTGTGTATCTCCTACCATATCATCATTATTTGCTTTTAAATATAAATCAGAAATAACCATCTAAAAATGGAAAATTTTAAATGAAAATAAAAAAGAAAAAAAGAAAAAAAAAAAAATCCCCCCCCCCAAATTTTTTGAACCCCCTTATGATTCTTCACACCCAAACTCAATCCCAGCCTTCCCTTTGTGGTATGGTACCTTGCAGTACAATTTTAGAGAGATCCATACACTTGAACACAAGTTATTGTCTGGAAACTAGAAAAATGTGTTTCTTGGCCCCTTTTTGGCCCCAAATTCCAAAACATTTAGGGCAATTACCCCCAAACTCAAACCCAGCTTTCCCTTTGTGATATGGAACCTTGTAGTACAATTTCAGAAAGATCCATACACTTACACACAAGTTATTGTCCTGAAACTAGAAAAATGCTTGTTTTTTGCCCCTTTTTTGCCCCTAATTCCTAAAATATTGAGGCAAGTACCCCCATCATCTATCCCAGCCTTCCCTTTGTGGTATGGTACCTTGCAGTACAATTTCAGATAGATCCATACACTTGAACACAAGTTATTGTCTGGAAACTAGAAAAATGCTTTTTTTTGGCCCCTTTTTGACCCCCAATTCCTAAACGTTTCGGGCAATTACCCCCAAACTCAATTCCAGCTTTCCCTTTGTGATATGGAACCTTGTAATACAATTTCAGAAAGATCCATACACTTACACACAAGTTATTGTCATGAAACTAGAAAAATGCTTGTTTTTTGCCCCTTTTTTGGCCCCTAATTCCTAAAATTTTGAGGCAATTACCCCCAAAATCAATCTCAGCATTCCTTTTGTGATATGGAACCTTGTGGTACAATGTCAGAGAGATCCATACACTAACACACAAGTTATGTCTGGAAGTTACAAAAATGCTTATTTTTGGCCCCTTTTTGGCCCCTAATTCCTTTACTGTTGGTACCATAACCCCCAAAATCAATCCCAACCTTCCTTTTGTGGTATTGTACCTTGTGGTAAAATTTCATAGAGATCCATTCACTTAAACTAAAGTTAGAGTGCGAAAACCAATGTGTCTTCAGACGACGACTACGCCAACGTCATACCAATATACGACCACAAAAATTTTGTTGCGGTCGTATAAAAATACAGATTTAACTAGTTTTCTTAAATCTCAATCCCCTTTTTAATCAGTGCATTATAAATGTACAATGAAATAATTACAGAATAAAATGCTCCGCTGGGCGCAGCTTGATACAACGGCAGAGGTCGAACCCTGAACAGTTGGGGGAAGTATGGACACAACATTCAAGCTTGATACAGCACTGAATTTGGATTGTGATTGAATATTTGACACAGCATAGGTTTCTGACACAGAATGAATGTGGTCTAAAAACTTAAAAAATTTTAATTTACCTATTCAAACCATATCATTATTGTTTGCTTTTATATATAAATCAGAAATAACCAATTTAAAATGGAAAATTTTAAAGAAAAAAAAGGGAAACCCCCCCCCAAATTTTTTTAACCCCCGTATGATTCATCACCCCAAACTCAATCCCAGCCTTCCCTTTGAGGTATGGTACCTTGCAGTACAATTTCAGAGAGATCCATACACTTGAACACAAGTTTTTGTCTGGAAACTAGAAAAATGCTTGTTTTTTGGCCCATTTTTGGCCTCAAATTCCTAATCGTTTAGGGCAATTAACACCAAACTCAAACCCAGCTTTCCCTTTGAGATATGGAACCTTGTAGTACAATTTCATAAAGATCCATACACTTACACACAAGTTATTGTCCGGAAAACTAGAAAAATGCTTGTTTTTTGCCCCTTTTTGGCCCCTAATTCCTAAAATTTTGAGGCAAGTACCCCCAAAATCAAACCCAGCATATCCTTTGTGGTATGGTACCTTGCAGTACAATTTCAGAGAGATCCATACACTGGAACACAAGTTATTCTCTGGAAACTAGAAAAATGCTTATTTTTGGCCCCTTATTCCTAAACGTTTTGGACAATTACCCCCTAACTCAATTCCAGCTTTCCCTTTGGGATATGGAACCTTGTAGTACAATTTCAGAAAGATCCATACACTTGAACACAAGTTATTGTCATGAAACTAGAAAAATGCTTCTTTTTTGCCCCTTTTTTGGCCCCTAATTCCAAAATTTTGAGGCAATTACCCCCAAAATCAATCCCAGCATTCCCTTTGTGATATGGAACCTTGTGGTACAATGTCAGAGAGATCCATACACTTACACACAAGTTATTGTCATGAAACTAGAAAAATGCTTGTTTTTTGCCCCTTTTTGGCCCCTAATTCCTAAATTTTGAGGCAATTACCCCCAAAATCAATCCCAGCATTCCCTTTGTGATATGGAACCTTGTGGTACAATGTCAGAGAGATCTATATACTTACACACAAGTTATGTCTGGAAGTTACAAAAATGCTTATTTTTGGCCCCTAATTCCTTAATTGTTGGTACCATAACCCCCAAAATCAATCCCAACCATCCTTTTGTGGTATTGAACCTTATGGTAAAATTTCATAGAGATCCATTCACTTAAACTAAAGTTAGAGTGCGAAAACCAATGTGTCTTTGGATGAAGACGACGATGACGACAACGTCATACCAATATACGACCGCAAATTTTTTTTGCAGTCGTATAAAAAGCACTGGACTCATATGAAATAATGTTAAATTACACAATAAAAAAAAGTTTCTTTATTAGACAAGAAATTTAAAGTATCTTTCTGGATAAAAAAAAGTTCCATTATACTGGCTGTATATTAAATTTTTCAGTTATAGAGAAATAGCTATAAAAAATTCCTACAATGGAAGTCATTTCTCCTTTTTTTCTTTTTTAGACATTCTAAAAAATTTCTTAGGAGTTTAACAGTTATATCTATTATAATTAATATATGTACATGTATCATATCATAACACCAACAGAAAGGCTCGATGATTATCAATCTGTTATCAATTTTAATAGGGGGGAAATTCTCCTTTCAAGAAGGTTAATACAGGAATTTTTTTTTTTTTGAATTGTTAAAAAAAACATTTTTTCTATAAAATTTACTTTATCCCAAATTGAAAAGAAGAAATTAAACCATTCTGAAATAAAGTCAACCAAAAAATAGGACTTTTTCAATTATTGTACACTTGTTATGATCTGGTTTAAATAATAAGACAACAACATGCTTCTTCCATCACCAATTGTACATAGACATAAAACTTACTGCTACTAAACATAGGACCTTCATCAGACTTCCCAGGTGGCTTCCTCCTGTTAGATGAAAAAATTTGACTGCAAAGATAACAAATGATTCTGCTCAAGGATCAGTTTATGTTCTTCTAAATACATATTGCAATTGAACAAATAAGACAGCAATCTTACATTACATATTTGGTTTCTCTAAAATACTGAGAAATGGAACATTGCCAGTAGTTGTCAAGGTTCTCCCTAGAGATTTTTGAAGGCGAGGAGTCCAGGGACTTGTCATTTTTGGTTATGGCGAGCCCAACAGTGAGAAGATGAAATTGTATCGCTATTTATCTATCATTTCAGTCCTCATGACATAATAAAGCAAGGAAATGACATCAAATCTAAATTATATTTTAACTTTTGTTATAAAATGATGACATAAGTGCTCAGTTGATAAATTATTTTACAATCTTGTTGCAACTTTGGACTCACCAGTTTTGAAAATGATGAGTCCAGACAGATTTTCATGAGTCCAGGACTCATGGACTCGCCTTAGTGAGAACCATTGTCATATATATCGTTAATATTTTTCGTTATTTGCACGTTTGGCGTTAATGGCAGATGTTTGATTGTTTCTGTTAACTTGGTGTTAATGGCAGTTGTTTGATTGTTTCTGTTAACTTGGTGTTAATGGCAGATGTTTGATTGTTTCTGTTAACTTGGTGTTAATGGCAGTTGTTTGATTGTTTCTGTTAACTTGGTGTTAATGGCAGTTGTTTGATTGTTTCTGTTAACTTGGTGTTAATGGCAGATGTTTGATTGTTTTTGTTAACTTGGTGTTAATGGCAGTTGTTTGATTGTTTTGTTAACTTTATACAGAACTATTTTTAATCTCAGGAGGATTTAGCTTGGACATATTGTATTGCAAGCACCTAGATCTATTGTTAAAGATTATGTTGCCCTCTAGAAATCTTTTGGTTATTTGCTTTTGTGAATGCTGTTGGGTTGCTGTCTCACTTCCATATACCCCACACCTTTCATTGAATCCATATATTCATTTAATTCATTGTCATCAGATAATATATATAAAGACTAAAGAAACTCTTGAGGCAGTGAAGATGAAGATTTCTACATGAATCTTTACATCACAACCAAACATTGCCTTGTATAGCGATCAGAGTAAACTGGCTTGGTTTATAAACCATTTGTTCAAAATATTTTTATATTTTTCTCTGCTCTACAACACACTTGTACTGAATTTATATTATAGACTATTAACTTGTTAACAAATCCTTGTTCTATTGTAAGAACAATTTGCCCATCTGCCCTTTTAATGAGGAGATCATATATAAAAAGATGCTATGAAGTACAAAGTGAACACATACTCAAAGTAGTGTGGTCTGTTTCAAGTAAAAGTCTATCAACCACCTTAAAACTTTATAACCTGTTGGTAAGTGAGAAGACTAACTTTAACCTTGACTGAATGTTGTTTTTTGCTTTGCAAAACATGCGATTTGATTATGAATTTCATTGATTTCATTTTTCTACAAATTAACTGAAACTGATCAGTAAATTTTAGGAATTTCAGTCAATATTTGCTGATACAGTTATACGATACACATGGCAAGTTACATGTACATTTGTAACATGGATAAGACATTTCATGAATATTTTACAAAATGTCTAAATATATAAAATGCCTGAAACATACCTACAGACTACCACATGTTAACACCAACACAGGTATCATTTTGTGGCCTATATATTTGATAGTAAACTGTATTTCAGACAGAGAATTAACAGAACATTCACTTACTTGTATAATTCTCTGATTTTTATCTGTATGGGTACAGAGGCACCTTTCTGAACAAGTTGTAAAGCTCTTTGCATGAGCTCTGTTTTTCTTCCTGTTTTATTTCGACCCGCATATCCCAATAAAACTTGTAGTTCAGACACCCTGAAGCTCATAACCATTTGCTAAAAATAGAAACATTAAAGATGTTACAAAGGATACGTTGAGATTTATTTTGGTGATAAATCCTGGACTCATTCCTTTTTAGAACTATGGGTCCAGGGAATCAAGTCTCAAGGCATTAATGATGAGTCCTGTACTCATTCTGGTTCTAGTGGCACTACATTATCTTGAGATACCAGAGTGAATCATCAACAATCAACACTATTCACTTAATCATTCACCACTCAGAGAGATTAACTGAGTCATTTCGTCTCTGGTGGAGAGTTGTCTCATTGGCAATCATACCACATCTTCTTATTTCTATATCACCAGTCAGGCAGTTGAGAACTCGCTACTTCCAAACAAATTAATGTTAAACAAATGAAGTATAATTCTATTAAGGTTAGCTGTATAGGCTTACACATGTATGATAAAGTTATCATTCATGATAGCTTCTACAATTTTGTTTTATTTGCTTTGACATAATTTTGGTCAAATGGCTTGGATTGATTGATATATCAATGTCCAGTAGCAAACATTTAATACATATTCAGGACAACAACATGCTAAATTTGTTAATGAAATATAAATACTGGTATACCAAGCTTTGTACTAGACCGACACATTAGAGAGATACTCAACATGCTGACTCACAAGGTAACAGTAAGGTTTGAATGTCTCTTATAATAAGATATCCTAGTAGTTTCAATGACACTTCAATGTACGCTTGTTTCTAGCTTCCTGGCAGAAAAAGATTGGGTAGGTACATGAAGGTAAAATGATTTAATTTTTTTAAATATTTTACACCTACAATTTAGGGAAATGTTCTGGTTACAGTGCTTAACCAAAAATTCAGAAAAAAATTTACAAGAAATAATATCAGTATAACTTATATGTAACAAATTTGAGTCACAAGATTTTTTGTAAATAGAGCTACATTTAACATTAAGGATGTTTGGTAATTTTTTAACTTTTATCAGATATTCAGAATCCTCTGGTTTTATCCTTGTGATGGCATTAAAAAAATTGCCTGCTAAGTTAACCCCTACTTTCCTTTTCATAATTTTATTACATATAGTTAAAAAAGCCATTTTTTGGAAATATTATATAATCCTTGTTATTTTTTCATAGTTTCATAGAAAATTCTACGAAAAGTCTACAGAGAATCATTTCCTGCCAAATTTTCAATGGCTTATATCTCAAAAACAAAGACACGGACCTTGCATTTTTTTCCTGCTTTTTTAGTTCTGATATATGTATACTATTAATTTAAAACAGTCTTTTAAAAAGCTTCTTATTTTCAAACAGAGTAGCAAACATCCTTAAATAATTAATTCAACTTTGAATAATTTGATATTCCCTCTGCTCTTCATTGAGATTTGACATTTAAGCTCCTCGAAACAAAAGCTATAATGGGCAATAATGTAGGACTTTAGTAACATACTTTTCCTAATGATCAGGAAATATATGTTATATTATTTAATGATTGGATTATTTCCCTTAGTAATTGGTTGGAAAAAAATGGCGCCAAATTGTTTATTTCTTCACACGAGTCACGAATTTCCTTAAAACAGCTGTCATATTCACGATTGTGAACATTAGGATGTATCAGGCAATTGATTTATATTATCTGCAACACTAACTTCGCTTTTGACACGAGTTCAGTTTATTTTTCACTTTACGACGGAAATAAAATAACTTAGGGTCGGTCGGGTAACCGTAAACAGACATATATTTTTTTTGGCCTAAGTGGAGTATAATAATCTTAAATAAGACGGAAATTTATAGGATATACATTTGTAGGTATTGAACAAAAAGTTAGCAATAATATGTGTTGTTGTTTTTCTAAACTTGAATAAAGATTAAAGGAAAGACATATATAATGTTAACTTTTTTAAGTCACAGTTATTATTTGTTTTTATCATTATTATCATTTTTACATCGGATGACCGTGAGGGCATTCCGGTGTATTGCTGTCGCCTAGATTTCCATTACGTAACTTTCGTGTTGGGATTGTAACTGATCTATAAACATGATAAATATGGAGACATTATGGAGTGCAAAATAACATTCCTTCTCGCTTGTTATAAATTCATTTGGATACTCCTAAAACTATTTTTTTAGAACATAAATTAATAATATGAAAATGTTTTGTCGTTAGAAATACATGTATATATATAATTTATAAGTAAAAAATCTTTAATATCTATGCACACGTACAGAAAATGTGTGTTAATTCATGTGGAAGAATATCTCAAGAACGTTTGCAATCTCCCATGCAGAGTTATCGGTCCTCGTTCTCTCTCAAGGACCGATAACTCTGTATGGGAGATTGAAAGTTTGGCGGGAAAATATGAATGCCTACTCAAATCCAATCTATTAGAAAAATCGAATTATTACAGAAGAGTGTCCAGCATGCACTTGCACTGCACTATTATTAATATAGTAGAATAGAATGATATACAAATGGATGTAAATTTTTTTGCGGTCGTATAAAAAAGTGTACAAGTCAGTAGGAAACCTGCTTATGCATAACAATGTATAAACTACAAAACGTAATCTGTAATTACAAGTTCCATTTTTTGGCGTTTGATGTCATTTGTGTTTTTTTAAATAAAGGTGCCTCAAACCTTAATAAATCATGCCAAAACAATGCGATGAATATATATTTAATAGTATTTTACTAGACAGAACTGTTTAATATTTAAAGTCTTAGTCTTTAGTGTATCTCTTAAGTATGGATTAAATCATTTCCCCACACTTTCACAATATTTGTTTGCTATCATCAAGTTTAATTCCTGTTTCCTGTTAATGTAAAACACAACTTTTCAAATTATTTTTTGAGATTTTGACACATTCTAACACTCATGAAGTTTGTTCTAGAATCATTTTCAACTTCAAGCATTGTCAACTTCTACTTCATGATGGAAAGAGTTGTCCATGAAAATAAGGCAGACTATAGGCTATCACAAACGATTTGAAACCAATGGAGTTTCACTTGATGTTTTTAACAAGTGACACAATTTTTTTCCCCTGAACTCCTGTATTTACAATAACAAACAAAGATAAGAGTAATTATTTGTTCATACTAGTTTAAATGACATCTTCTGTTACAAAATTATACTGCCTACATTTGTATGTTAGGCCCAGACCTATTTAATACACAGTTTTTGTTTCAATATCAACTGCATTTTAAATAAACCTTGTCAAACTCATTGACCGATAGCTTAGCTGTTTAACATAAAGATATGAATTATATAAATCACCTACCCCAGAATTTGTTTTTTTCATCCACACATTTTGATACATGATTACATGTACATGTACAAAATGTATATACAACTCTACAAATTCACTGTATACACAATCTATACATGTACAGTATATACAGTTTTTTTTTCTAATTTTCATTTGGCGAACTTTTGGAAGGTTATACATGTACATGTATCCAGTCTATAGAAGACAAAAATTGAAAATAAGGCTTCATTTATTTAATGCGTCAGAAAAGCTTTTCTGAATTTACCTTAATCAGAAAGTTCAAACCCAAATATTTGAAAACCCCGGATACATGTACATGTAATTAAGAAACAAAACCTGTTAAGAGCTAGCTATATATAGACCTAGGTACACATGTAAATTGTATGTGACCAAAAAAGGACCTTAAAATAATAGCCACATTTATCTAAGGTCAACTTTGCCTGAGGGAACTGGAATTATAGTTTCTTGATAATTTCTAAAATCTTTTTGTCATGTTTGTCTTTGGCACTTGTGCAGAAATCTGGTTTTCCTTTTTTTTCAGGAAAGTTCAAAAAAACATCACAAGAGTAATACAATTACCTGCAATTTCAATCTGATTACACCATAATGGAGCATACATGTACAATTTTCCACAATTAAGTAGATACAGTGTACATTTGTATATTTGATTGCCGAAAAGGTATGATGATGACACAGTAACTGTGAGAATTCTAAGATCTGTGCTTTGTGTTGTTGGGGTTTTTATGTGCTTTGTATGGATTTGATGAGTTAATCCCATTTCAACTGATTTTTATAGTTTGTTCTTATGTCATACTGTTACACCACTGTCCCAGGTTAGAGGGAGGGTTTGGAGCCAGCAAACATGTTCAACCCTGTCACAAGTCAGGAGCTTGTTATTCAGTGCTGGTTGTTTGTTTCTGTATATCATATTTGTTTTTTGTTAATTGTTATGTACATAAATCAGGCCTGGCCATTAGTTTTCTCGTTTGAACTGTTGAATTGTTTTACATTTGTCATTCCAGGACCTTTTATGGTTTACTATATATGTGTAATGTGTTTTGCTCATTGTTGTAAGGTGACTTATAGTTGTTAACTTTTGTGTCATTTGGTCTCTTGTGGTCAAGTTGTTCTATTGGCAATCATACCACACCTTCTTATTTTTATATTAATAAAGTCAATATTCTACCACTTCCCGCTTCACTTTTCGTCCCCCCCTAAAATACATAAATTTATTTTATAAGGGAGATAGAGTTTATTCATTAAATTCTTTCTGTCAGTACTTCAGAGACGTTTACATTTGGCATCTCCAGTATGTGATCACTTTTCAAAGCAGAACACGAATGGATTATTGCACATGTGCATGTAACACAAACAATCAATAATATCAATTGGATCGTAAAGAAACAGTTGATTCAATACATAAATCAGTAAGGTCTGGATTGTAATTGCTATATTATTACTGAAATTGCATTTTTAATGAATTTGAAAGTAATTTTCAACATATTAATGAGTATATATACATATATAGCTTCTGCCATGTGACAAGAATGTGATTTGATGGTATCCTACAATACATTTAATGGAATAGATGTTGTTATATACTACCTAGTTCTATTGTCAAGCTGTTAGCCAGGATCTGAGGCTAAAATTTGTATTTGAGAAACATACGATGTATATTTCCCATAAATGTGTATCTTAGGAGCATAGGATTTCCTGTAAATTTAATTTGATAATACCAAAAAGTATGATCAGAAAAACAAACAACATGCATGCACAATAACCTTCTGTAGTTTAGCACTAAATATTATCTCATTTTAACTATTTTATAAATTTAAAATTCAAATGTTAAGTATATAATTTACATGTACATACTACATGTATGTCCTTTTTCACAGGTAACATTTGCCTCATATTATGTTTAAATAACGAACAAGATCAGTTTCACTACACATGTAGTAAGTTGCTTTGAATTAAAAGGAAGGAAGGCTAAAATCCTGTACTTGGAAATTTCCCTTTAAAATTTTAAACTGTGCATAAACAAATATATATTTTCGTTTTTCATAGTTTATAAATAGAACGACCTTGACACTCCTTGGATCTATTAGCCGTGACGATAAAATGTTCCCGCTTCGTGATTTTAAACATTCAATGTGAATAAAGTTGTTCGAAAATTTAATATCTGTTCAATGTACATCATCATTGTAAACCGTTCTGGTCAAACAAACTCCATAATACGCCCGTTTTCCATGGGATATTAAATTATCGACCAAAAAACACATTGTTTTCAAATCTAGGTCACTGCTAGTTGACGAGGATGTCAAAAATATTGAAATAAAAGCTTCTTTTTGTTGATCTAGAAGGCGAAAATATATACAAATTTAGGTTTACAGGAAAGAACACACATGTATGAATTCGGTACAATCCTTAAAATACACTTACTTCTGATAAAAATTATGAATCGATAGAAAAATTGAACGACACTTACCTTGAGCTCTCCAGCGTCCGCCATTTTGTTTAATCTAATGCGCAAGCGCTAAAAAATGTTGACCTCATTTCCGCCAAAAACACAGCAATGGCTGGGAAAAATTGTAGGTTATGAAACATTAAAGGACAAAGTGCTTTTAACAGACAACCAGAATCATAACAGTGTCGCCATTCGGTGCAGAAAAATATTTACTGTCACACTTTTAGGACACACATAGATCATCCTAATCCATGCCTTTATTTTATTACAGTCGAACGTTTTCACCTAAATTAATAAAAAGGGGGAGATATATTTATTTTATGTTAATGGGTATTAATCACAAAAAGACCAGATTAACTTAATAGCAATATTCTATAATCTATGTTTTTTATAAGTAAATAATTTGAGGCTGTTGTCTGTGTATAAAGAGGAGAAAGTCAGTAATTAAAACAATGAAAATAAAGTCGTTGATAACTTAAGAAGGCACTGGTAATGATACACCTTATTGCAATTTGTCTGCCATTACGGGACATCAAAAGGAAAGTAAGTGTCGCAGATTCTCTGACTCAGGTCAAGTTGTGCAGATATCCAAAGAATCCGGGTCCGTTCGCCCAAAAACATGTTCGCGCCCATTCACGTTCGCCCCCTTTCATTTTCGCACCCAAAGTCTGTTCGCACCCTACATGTTCGCACCCTTTTTATTGGTTTTGTGTTAAAAAAGTAATTTGTAATCGAGTTTTGGTAAGTGTATTGCTATAATTTATTTTTTTCATTATTTCGAAATAAATTGAGATTCTGACAACGTTTTGTTTTGTGTTGAATAAATCTTAATCACATTTTGGTAAATGTATTGCTTTAATTTTTTTTCATTGTTTCAAAATAAAGTGAGCTTAAAGGGGCCAAGCTGTTAAAAACAATTATCATTCGTGTTTTTCATTTAAAATCTTCAATGTTTTACTCATACCAAGCTAAATACATGCAGTATTTACATCAAAGGAAGTTAAAACAACAATCATGATTTTCAAACACACAACAATAATACCAAATTTAGCTATGTATAAATACTAATTAGCAGTAATCATACATAATTAGAATTAAACAATCATCAAATTAATAAAAAAAAAAACATTTCAGGGTCGAAAGTGTGAGGTGCGAACGTGTATTGGGCGCGAAGGAACCTGATACCATATCCAAATAGCGATAAGGTGTACTATAAATTTATGTTGAAAACATAACAATAACAAACAAACAATTACTTTAACGTTAAATACTAATTGACAGAATGCATACTCAGGTTGAGAACTGATAAATCAAGGACCTAACAATAATACTTGTGTCTATGGTTACATTGCGTTATAATGTTATGTATGTCAATGCATTTTGATGCATGCAATGTATTAAAATACAAATTGAAAACCTTTTTTTTCTAAATTAATTCAATATTACAATATTGTTGCTTTGCATATACATTGTATAGTTGATTTAGAATGGCAACTTATGCACATCATTTTTAAGGCTGACGCTTTTTTGGTGGAACCACTCATGGCAGCCATCACAAATGATGGATGCTGCAATGTGCATGTCAGTTTTGCAAACCAAACAACTGCACTCTGACATGCCCCTAAAGCTCCCTTTTGGAGGTATGTCAGGTTTTAGTGAAACCGTATTTTTTTATCCACGATATATTTTGATTTTGACAATTTCTGTATCTGTATTTGGACAGGTATGTCACAGATTCCTTTCGGCTATTGTGTGACAGGTTGGTCTGCGCACAAGTTAGTCGCGCTTGCTTAGGAGTTCTGATTTAAACTCCTCAGTTGTAGTGATGCACACTACTGAGTCCTCCAGATGGTTCCAATCTACTGCAGTGCGCACAAAAGTATTTTGAACTGGTTGGTCTTACTATTTGGAACTATGACTGCTCGTTTGTTGTTACGAACTTGTTGGTCAATAATGTTCTTAGTGATAAAGTTATTAAAGGTTGTTGTTCTTATTTGTCGTGTGATCTGTGGAATTTAATAAGGTCGTCCGGAGGGAGCGCTGGTATCTTCCCCTCAACCACTTTGAAAAGAAAATCAGTCGTTGCTGTTGACGTCTTGATTGAAGTGACGGAAGCTGAAGTTCTAATAGCATTTTTGTTAACATCCTTCATCTCTTGATTTGTAGTCTTTGGTGATAAATCTAACCCCTCCCTTTTGTATGGATTCTAATTTATCGATGTCTTTTTGCGTATATGGGTCCCAGATAATTGATCCATACTCCATAATAGATTTTATGAGTGCTATATATGCTGTTTTACAGCATTCCCTAGGGCAGTGTTGTAGGTTTCTCCTAAGGAAACCTGGCGTGGAATTGGCTTTGTTACATGTATTTGTTATTTGTTCCTTCCATTTAAGGTCTTCCTGTATTTGTAATCCAAGGTATGGGTTAGATGACACTTGTTCGAGCGAGTGGTTGTTAAGGTTGTAGAACAGCTGGCTTTTACTTTTTATACGCCCGTTTACGGGACGTATTATGGTATACCGTTGATGTCTGTCCGTCCGTCCGTCGTCAACATGTTGGACATTACTTCAAAAACGCTTTAGCCAATATGCATGAAACTTTGTTGAATCGTTTATATCTAATGATGTGAGCTCCCTTTCGTTTTTTATAAATTTCGGATTTACCTTTTCCGAGTTTTGACGTTTTATTCATTTACAAAGGGGGGATTTTCCAGTTTTCGGACAATCACTCAGAAACAATTTCACCAATTTGCATGAAACTTTTGTGAATTGTTTATATCTATTGACAAGAGCTCCCTTTTGTTTTTTTATAAATTTCGGATTTACCGTTTCCGAGTTTTGGGGTTATATTCATTAAAAAAGGGGGGATTTTCCAGTTTTCGGACAATAACTCAAAAACTATTTCACCAATTTGCAAGAAACTTTGGTGAATTGTTTATTTCAATCGACGTGAGCTCCCTTTTGATTTTTATAAATTTTAGAATATACGTTTCCGATTTATGGGGTTTTATTTATTACAAAAAGGGAGATTTTCCAGTTTTTTGACAATAACTTATGAAACTTTGGTAAATTGTTTATATCTATTTTTGTAAGCTCCCTTTTGATTTTTGTAAATTTTCAATTTTATGTTTCCGATTTATAAGATTTCATTTGTTTATAGTCTGACAACAGATTTACTAAGTATTGCGCAACAGCACAGTGTATTGCACAACAGCAAAAAATCTTTAATTGAATATAAATTCAATTGATATAACCAATTTCAAGTTCTTTGACTACATTTATTCAGAAACCTATAATATGTCAAATATTTAATTACAATCCAAATTCAGACCTGTATCAAGCTTGAATATTGTGTCCATTTTTGCCCCAACTGTACAGGGTTGGACCTCTGCGCTCAGTGAAGCAGTTTATTTTTAAACTTAGCATATAGCATTTTTTGGAGTTGAAGCACATACCCCAGTCATCGGCCCATTTTTCCAGTGATTTGAGGTCCTCTTGTACTTTGTTGTGGTCATTTTGGTTTTTGATTTCCCTGTACAGCAAACACTGTTTGCAAATATTCAGACTGACAAGTTTACTGCATCTGGTAGATAATTTATGTGACACAAAAAGAGGATGGGTCCTAGCACTGTTCCTTGGGGGACTCCAGATTCAACTGAAGCAGTACTTGAGTGTACTCCTTCAAGTTGGACTCACATTTTTCATTCAGTTAGGAACGAAGTTAGCCATTTGTGGATATTTCCTCTAATTCCATATTGGTTTATTTTGTGCAGGAGTCGTTCATGAGGTACAGTATCAAATGCCTTCGAAAAATCCAGAATCGCAATGTCTACCTGGTTTCCTTTGTTGTATGACTGGAGCATGTCGTGGATTGTGATGGCAAGTTGGTTCTCACAGGAATATCCAGATCTGAAGCCATGGTTTAGAGAAGTCAATATTTATGCTTTTCAAGATGTTTAAGCATATGTCTGCATATGATGTGCTCAAGTAGCTTACATGGTACTGATGTTAGTGAGACTGGTCTATAATTTTCAGCCGCATGTGGATCTCCTTTCTTGAAGATGCTAGAGATGTTGGCATTTCTCCAGTTCTCTGGTAGGGTACCACTGTCTAGGGATAGGCTCCGATAGTTGGAATATTGGTGTCAGTATAGGTGCCAGGTGTTCAGCACATTGTTTAAGTACTCTGTTTGGTATATTGTCTGGACCCGATGCTTTGAATCGGTTGATATTTTGTAACAGCTTTTTCACTCCTTCTGTTCTGATGGTAATTTGATGTATGGATTCTTTTACCCTGATGTTTGTTTTTGGTAATGTTTGTGTTGTTTCTTTTGTGAAGACAGACGCAAATTGCTCCAGTAGAATTTGGGCCTTCTCCTTGCTGTCGTTTGAGCTGTCCTTGCCTCTTTAGTGGTGCAACCCCAATGTTATCCTGCTTCCTTGATTTCCCAAAAGGTTTTGTGTTGTTCTTATTCATTCCTTCAATGATGGCGTTGTTAATGTAATTATGTTCTGCTTTCCTGATTTCTCTTTTGCATGTTTGTTTGGTAATGGCGGTAGTTTGTCCATGATTTTGATCTTTTGGCTTGGTTATACAGGTTTTTATACGACCGCAAAAATTGAAAATTTTTTGGTCGTATATTGGTATGACGTTGGCGTCGTCGTCGTCGTCGTCCGGCGTCGTCCGAAGACACATTGGTTTTCGCACTCTAACTTTAGTTTAAGTGAATGGATCTCCATGAAATTTTACCATAAGGTTCAATACCACGAAAGGAAGGTGGGGATTGATTTTGGGGGTTATGGTACCAACAGTTAAGGAATTAGGGGCCAAAAAGGGGCCAAAAATAAGCATTTTTGTAACTTCCAGACAATAACTTGTGTGTAAGTGTATGGATCTCTCTGACATTGTACCACAAGGTTCCATATCACAAAGGGAAGGCTGTAATTGATTTTGGGGGTAATTGCCTCAAAATTTTAGGAATTAGGGGCCAAAAAAGGGGCAAAAAACAAGCATTTTTCTAGTTTCATGACAATAACTTGTGTGTAAGTGTTTGGATATTTCTGAAATTGTACTACAAGGTTCCATATCACAAAGGGAAAGCTGGAATTGAGTTTGGGGGTAAGTGCCCGAAACGTTTAGGAATTGGGGGCCAAAAAGGGGCCAAAAATAAGCATTTTTCTAGTTTCCAGACAATAACTTGTGTTCAAGTGTATGGATCTCTCTGAAATTGTACTGCAAGGTACCATACCACAAAGGGAAGGCTGGGATTGAGTTTGGGGGTGATGAATCATAAGGGGGTTCAAAAAATTTGGGGGGGGATTTTTTTTTTTCTTTTTTTTTCTTTTTTTCCTTTTTTTTTTCTTTTAAAATTTTCCATTTTAAGTTGGTTATTTCTGATTAATATTTAAAAGCAAATAATAATGATATGGTAGGAGATACACACCAAACAGGATGTGTAAATTATTATATAATAAGTATTGTGCAACAGCAAGAAATTTTCAATTGCACAATATTGCACAATTGCAAGAAATCTTCAATTGCACAGTATTGCGCAATAGCAAGAAATCTTCAATTGCACAGTATTGCGCAATAGCAAGAAATATCCAATAGCACAATAGCAAGAAATTGTCAATTGTACAGTATTGCACAATAGCAAGAAATATTCAATTGCACAGTATTGTGCAAAAGAAGATACTTCGTATAAATTGCTTATTTCTTGATCAATTTCAATGGGGTTTTATTCTTGAATTCTTGGGGTTCTTTAATATGCTGAATCTAACCGTGTATTAAGTTTTTGGATTTTGGGCCACGTTTTTAAATTGGTCCACATTGAGGTCCAAAGGGTCCAAAATTTAACTTTGTTTGATTTCATCAAAAATTGAATTATTGGGTTTCTTTGATATGCCGAATCTAACCGTGTATTTAGATTCTTAATTTTTGGTTCCGTTTTCAAATTGGTCTACATTAAGGTCAAAAGGGTCCAAAATTAAACTTAGTTTGATTTTAACAAAAATTGAATTTTTAGGGTACTTTGATATGCTGAATCTAAACATGTATTTAGATTTTTGATTATGGGCCCAGTTTTCAAGTTGGTCCAAATCGGGGTCCAAAATTAAACTTTGTTTGATTTCAACAAAAATTGAATATATGGGGTTCTTTGATATGCTGAATCTAACCATGTATTTAGATTTTTGATTTTTGGGCCCCGTTATCAACTTTGTCCACATTGAGGTCAAAAGGGTCCAAAATTAAACTTTGTTTGATTTCATCAAAAATTGAATTCTTGGGGTTCTTTGATATGCTGAATCTAACCATGTATTCAGATTTTTTATTTGTGGAACTGCTATCAAATTGGTTCATATTGAGGTCAAAAGGGTCCAAAATTAAACTTTGTTTGATTTCATCAAAAATTGAATTATTGGAGTTCTTTGATATGCCAAATCTAACCGTGTATTTAGATTTTTAATTTTGGGTCCCGTTTTTAAATTGGTCTACATTAAGGTCCAAAAGGGTCCAAAATTAAACTTAGTTTGATTTTAACAAAAATTGAATTCTTGGGGTTCTTTGATATGCTGAATCTAAACATGTGTTTAGATTTTTGATTATGGGCCCAGTTTTCAAGTTGGTCCAAGTTGGGGTCCAAAATTAAACTTTGTTTGATTTCAACAAAAAATGAATATATGGGGTTCTTTGATATGCTGAATCTAAACATGTATTTAGATTTTAGATTTTTGGCCCAGTTTTCAAGTTGGTCCAAATTGGGGTCCAAAATTAAACTTTGTTTGATTTCAACAAAAATTGAATATATGGGGTTCTTTGATATGCTGAATCTTACCATGTATTTAGATTTTTTATTTGTGGGCCCGCTATCAAATTGGTTCATATTGAGGTCAAAAGGGTCCAAAATTAAACTTTGTTTGATTTCATCAAAAATTTAATTATTGGGGTTCTTTGATATGCCAAATCTAACCGTGTATTTAGATTTTTAATTTTTGGGTCCCGTTTTTTAAATTGGTCTACCTTAAGGTCCAAAGGGTCCAAAATTAAACTTAGTTTGATTTTAACAAAAATTGAATTTTTGGGGTTCTTTGATATGCTGAATCTAAACATGTGTTTAGATTTTTGATTATGGGACCAGTTTTCAAGTTGGTCCATGTTGGGGTCCAAAATTAAACTTTGTTTGATTTCAACAAAAATTGAATATATGGGGTTCTTTGATATGCTGAATCTAAACATGTATTTAGATTTTAGATTTTTGGCCCAGTTTTCAAGTTGGTCCTAATTGGGGTCCAAAATTAAACTTTGTTTGATTTCAACAAAAATTGAATATATGGGGTTCTTTGATATGCTGAATCTTACCATGTATTTAGATTTTTTATTTTGTGGGCCTGCTATCAAATTGGTTCATATTGAGGTCAAAAGGGTCCAAAATTAAACTTTGTTTGATTTCATCAAAAATTGAATCATTGGGGTTCTTTGATATGCCAAATCTAACCGTGTTTTTAGATTTTTAATTTTGGGTCCCGTTTTTTAAATTGGTCTACATTAAGGTCCAAAGGGTCCAAAATTAAACTTAGTTTGATTTTAACAAAAATTGAATTCTTGGGGTACTTTGATATGCTGAATCTAAACATGTGTTTAGATTTTTGATTATGGGACCAGTTTTCAAGTTGGTCCAAGTTGGGGTCCAAAATTAAACTTTGTTTGATTTCAACAAAAATTGAATATATGGGGTTCTTTGATATGCTGAATCTAACCATGTATTTTGATTTTGGACATTGGACCATAATAGGTAAATTAAAAAAATTGAAGTTCTTAGACCACATTCTTTCTGTGTCAGAAACCTATGCTGTGTCAAATATTTAATCACAATCCAAATTCAGAGCTGTATCAAGCTTGAATGTTGTGTCCATACTTGCCCCAACTGTTCAGGGTTCGACCTCTGCGGTCATATCAAGCTGCGCCCAGCGAAGCATTTTATTTTTTATGTCATTTATGTCATGCTCTATATTCATTTTAACATGGGAAGGCAGTATATTTGTTACTTTTTTTACACTGAACATACATGTAAGCAATGTGTTAAATGTTGACAAATATAATGCCTACCCATTTAAAAATTAGCATAGAGCATGTCTAATCCAAATAGTTATGGCTTCTAGTACAGCTAAATGTATTATTTTGCTGTGACCCCTTTCTATGAAGTCATAAGCTGAAGCCAATTTATTTCTTTTGGACTTTGAGACATAGTTTTGCTAGAAATGTTGGTATATATATACAAATTTTTAACTTTTCTGTGCTTATTGATACAAAATATTTCGCAATTCATCCAAAAGTAATGATGAAATAAGTTACAATTCCAGCAGGGAACCCACTGGACGGTAGACAACCAACAATCAATCAATCAGCAGGGAACCTACAACAATATTTTGTATCTTTCATTTTAATGATAATGTGTAAACAAATATGAAGAGCTTTCTTGTGATGTTTTACAAAAAAGGTTCATAAAAATACCTTTTCCTAGCAACTTATTCACGTTCTAGAAAGTTGTTAACCTTAAGTTTCTTTTATGATGTTAACAAATGCAGTTTTGAAATTGTTCGATGAATACCGGTACCCCCATTTGAGATTTTGTGCAATGTGAATTTTAAAGTGTTCCCAAGACAACTTGTTTGAAATCTTTATTTTTAAACAAAATATTCTAATGGGATTAAGTGGATATATGAAAAAAAAGACAAAACAGACTTTAAATATAACTCTAAAATAGACAACAATATTTATCCTTCTCTAGATTTGGTTATTTCAGTTTCACATGGAAAACTCTATACAAATATTTATCCTCTAGATTTGGTTATTTCAGTTTCACATGGAAAACTCTATACAAATATTTATCCTCTAGATTTGGTTATTTCAGTTTCACATGGAAAACTCTATACAAATATTTATGACAGGAGAGAGGATGTTTGGTTTCCCATTTTTGATTTGCCGTTTTTGGACTGGGATTTTCCTTTGTCCCCTTCTTATATTGTATATATTTCCAACATTTTGAACTGCCTCAATGATCTTGTGGTAGAGTAGTCGCCATTCTGCTTCTCCCCGTAACATGCAGCATTCAGGAGTAAGAGCAAAGACTGATCAGTTTAGTAAGATTGATGTGTCCAGGTAAGGTGACATATCTTCCTGTGTTGAACTAGCACATTAAAAATGTGGCTCGGTTTGATGGTCTACAAAGCAGGCTTCAATTTCATGTTGTCTTAACATGTTCTCATCCTGAATTTGCTGCTGGACATTTAACAGCCATCCATCATCATCCAACTCATTTACTTGACTTTGCCCAGTGGCGGATCCAGGGGGGTTCCGGGGGTTGAAACCCCCCCTTTTTTCTTGACGATCAATGCGTTTGAATGGGGACATATAGTTGGAACCCCCCCCCCTTTTAAAAATGGCTGGATCCGCCCCTGTTTCCTATGTCTGTAGTGATATTAGCTTTTTCAATGAACATAATCTATGTATAAATGGTAAATTATTAAGTCAGGGATTTGTTTCCACAAATTACTAAAAACCTTTTAAACTTAATTCTTTCATGGATCCATAATCCAATTTGCCAACCTCTAAAATGTATATTGAATACTTTGTTTTTATTTTCAGTGTTGCTGTTGAAGAGTGGTTTCAACCCAGCACTAAGTCTGTTATTAAGAAGACCGACTGCATTAACAACAGTATGTAGGTCAGCAGGCTCACAGAAACAGGCTGTTCAAGAAACAAACAGGTATGCAAAAAGTTATCTTACTGAAATATTCAGAGTGGTAAATTCAATATAGTTACTCTGAGAGTGTGGTTTCTAAGATATGTACAAAAAATGTAACTCAAAGGGGAAAAAATATACAATCTGAAATTTCAATGTTAAAAATATCTAGGCTGTGTCCAAAGCAAAAAGTGTATGATTCTTTAATTACTGACATCAATATTAATGTTATCAAGAGAAAATGGTTATGCATTTCTGTAAACATTGTTTAGAGTAAACAAAAGCTCTTAAAGAAACAAAAATCTAGTAGTCAACATGTATAAGGAGAGCTAAAAGGAGTTCTTGGGTATACAGTAATGAGACAGAAACTCGTGGACAAAATATATTCTCATAATATGGCTAACTATTATTAGTTTTTATACGCCCGTCAAATTTTTGACGGGACGTATTATGGTATACAAATGTCTGGCGTCTGTCCGTCTGTCTGTCCGGCGTAAACATGTCGCACCGTAACTTGAGAATGACTTATCCAAATTTCATGAAACTTAACATAGTTGTTTCTTATGATGGTCAAACGATCTGTATACTTTTTGGTGAAAATAAGATTAAAACTTTTTGAGTTACGGGACTTAGTAACTAAAACAGGTGTGTGTGTTTTTTCACATGTCGCGCCGTATCTCAAAAACAATTTATGATTATTGCTTAAAACTTTACACACTTCTTAGTTATATTAATCTTAAGATCTTTATACTTTTTGGTGATGATTCAAAATTTTATTTTAGAGATATTGAGTATTTTGTTAAAAAAGGGGGAGGGGTTTTTCACATGTCGCGACGTATCTCATAAACAGTTTATGATTATTGCTTTAAACTTTACACTCTTCTTAGTTATATTAACCTTAAGATCTGTATACTTTTTGGTGATGATTCAAAATTTTATTTTTGAGTTATTGAGTATTTTGTAAAAAAAGGGGGAGGGGTTTTTCACATGTCGCGCCGTATCTCAAAAACGATATATGATTATTGCTTAAAATTTTACACACTTCTTAGTTATATTAATCTAAAGATCTGCATACTTTTTGGTTTTGATTCAAAATTTTATTTTAGAGATATTGAGTTTTTTGTAAAAAAAAAGGGGGTTTTCGCATGTCACGCCGTATGTCAGAAACTATTTATGCTTATTGCATACACAAGACGACGGGCGTATCATGCGCTCATGGCGCAGCTGTTTATTCAAATATGCAAGAAAAGATTTTGTCTGACAACGTGATTGAATGCTTTGCAATCCTGCTAATTTTTCATATCTTGCCAATATTAAATGCATAAACTGTTAATTTTAATGGACTCTTAGATATTATGATTTTTATAGTTGAATTTCATACATATAGATTGCTCCTCTCTAGTTTTATTTAAAGTAAAAAAACTGATAAACAAATCATGTAAATTAAAATATTAAATTGTAGTTCAGAACAACCTTTAACAGGGCCAGGGATAACAGAGCCCATTCCTTACTCACCATTCACTATTTTATTTGTAGTTCAGAACAACCTTTAACAGGGCCAGGGATAACAGAGCCCATTCCTTACTCACCATTTACTATTTTATTTGTAGTTCAGAACAACCTTTAACAGGGCCAGGGATAACAGAGCCCATTCCTTACTCACGATTCACTATTTTATTTGTAGTTCAGAACAACCTTTAACAGGGCCAGGGATAACAGCCCATTCCTTACTCATGATTCACTATTTTATTTGTAGTTCAGAACAACCTTTAACAGGGCCAGGGATAACATGTCCTATTCCTTACTCACCATTCACTATTTTATTTGTAGTTCAGAACAACCTTTAACAGGGCCAGGAATAACAGAGCCCATTCCTTTCTCATGATTCACTATTTTATTTGTAGTTCAGAACAACCTTTAACAGGGCCAGGGATAACAGAGCCCATTCCTTACTCATGATTCACTATTTTATTTGTAGTTCAGAACAACCTTTAACAGGGCCAGGGATAACATGTCCTATTCCTTACTCACGATTCACTATTTTATTTGTAGTTCAGAACAACCTTTAACAGGGCCAGGGATAACAGAGCCCATTCCTTACTCATGATTCACTATTTTATTTGTAGTTCAGAACAACCTTTAACAGGGCCAGGGATAACAGAGCCCATTCCTTACTCACCATTCACTATTTTATTTGTAGTTCAGAACAACCTTTAACAGGGCCAGGGATAACAGAGCCCATTCCTTACTCATGATTCACTATTTTATTTGTAGTTCAGAACAACCTTTAACAGGGCCAGGGATAACAGAGCCCATTCCTTACTCATGATTCACTATTTTATTTGTAGTTCAGAACAACCTTTAACAGGGCCAGGGATAACAGAGCCCATTCCTTACTCATGATTCACTATTTTATTTGTAGTTCAGAACAACCTTTAACAGGGCCTGTGATAACAGAGCCCATTCCTTTCTCACGATTCATTATTTTATTTGTAGTTCAGAACAACCTTTCACAGGGCCAGGGATAACAGAGCCCATTCCTTACTCATGATTCACTATTTTATTTGTAGTTCGGAACAACCTTTAACAGGACCAGGGGTAACAGAGCCCATTCCTTACTCATGATTCACTATTTTATTTGTAGTTCAGAACAACCTTTAACAGGGCCAGGGATAACAGAGCCCATTCCTTTCTCACGATTCACTATTTTATTTGTAGTTCAGAACAACCTTTAACAGGGCCAGGGATAACAGAGCCCATTCCTTACTCATGATTCACTATTTTATTTGTAGTTCAGAACAACCTTTAACAGGGCCAGGGATAACAGAGCCCATTCCTTACTCATGATTCACTTTTTTATTTGTAGTTCAGAACAACCTTTAACAGGGCCAGGGATAACAGAGCCCATTCCTTACTCACCATTCACTATTTTATTTGTAGTTCAGAACAACCTTTAACAGGGCCAGGGATAACAGCCCATTCCTTACTCATGATTCACTATTTTATTTGTAGTTCAGAACAACCTTTAACAGGGCCAGGGATAACAGAGCCCATTCCTTACTCATGATTCACTATTTTATTTGTAGTTCAGAACAACCTTTAACAGGGCCAGGGATAACAGAGCCCATTCCTTACTCATGATTCACTATTTTATTTGTAGTTCAGAACAACCTTTAACAGGGCCAGGGATAACAGAGCCCATTCCTTACTCATGATTCACTATTTTATTTGTAGTTCAGAACAACCTTTAACAGGGCCAGGGATAACAGAGCCCATTCCTTACTCATGATTCACTATTTTATTTGTAGTTCAGAACAACCTTTAACAGGGCCAGGGATAACAGAGCCCATTCCTTACTCATGATTCACTATTTTATTTGTAGTTCAGAACAACCTTTAACAGGGCCAGGGATAACATGTCCTATTCCTTACTCACGATTCACTATTTTATTTGTAGTTCAGAACAACCTTTAACGGGACCAGGGATAACAGAGCCCATTCCTTACTCACGATTCACTGTTTTATTTGTAGTTCAGAACAACCTTTAACAGGGCCAGGAATAACAGAGCCCATTCCTTTCTCACGATTCACTATTTTATTTGTAGTTCAGAACAACCTTTAACAGGGCCAGGGATAACATGTCCTATTCCTTACTCACGATTCACTATTTTATTTGTAGTTCAGAACAACCTTTAACAGGGCCAGGGATAACAGAGCCCATTCCTTTCTCACGGTTCACTATTTTATTTGTAGTTCAGAACAACCTTTAACAGGGCCAGGGATAACATGTCCTATTCCTTACTCACGATTCACTATTTTATTTGTAGTTCAGAACAACCTTTAACAGGGCCAGGGATAACAGAGCCCATTCCTTACTCATGATTCACTATTTTATTTGTAGTTCAGAACAACCTTTAACAGGGCCTGTGATAACAGAGCCCATTCCTTTCTCACGATTCATTATTTTATTTGTAGTTCAGAACAACCTTTAACAGGGCCAGGGATAACAGAGTCCATTCCTTACTCATGATTCACTATTTTATTTGTAGTTCAGAACAACCTTTAACAGGGCCAGGGATAACAGAGCCCATTCCTTTCTCACGATTCACTATTTTATTTGTAGTTCAGAACAACCTTTAACAGGGCCAGGGATAACATGTCCCATTCCTTACTCATGATTCACTATTTTATTTGTAGTTCAGAACAACCTTTAACAGGGCCAGGGATAACAGAGCCCATTCCTTACTCACGGTTCACTATTTTATTTGTAGTTCAGAACAACCTTTAACAGGGCCAGGGATAACAGAGCCCATTCCTTTCTCATGATTCACTATTTTATTTGTAGTTCAGAACAACCTTTAACAGGGCCAGGAATAACAGAGCCCATTCCTTACTCACCATTTACACCCGGTTTACAAGATGCTTCAAAAGCACAGTGGGTAACAGCACGAATTGATGATGCAGTAGCATGGTGCAGGAAGGTATATAAGCAAATCAATTTTTGACCAGAAATATTTGCAAAATTTTTTTTTAAGCTTTCTGTATTATTTTGTTGGCTAAAATATTTGCCACATTGTGTTGTTTCAAGGTTTTCGATGAATAAAGGCAACCATTTGAAATCAAATCATCATGCCAATATAGATATACTGTAAACATCTGATACATCTGTTCCAGTTAAATCAATACTAATGAGTATAATTACACTTATTTTATATCTATCATATTAACTTAATTTTTTTATTATTCAAAAGGAACAGAGGTATACAAGATTCTGTTCGTGTTTCTGTTAGTCCATCCCATAATATTTTTGTCAATTTTCTCAGGAAAACAAATTGGAGCTTCCTAAACTTGATATCTAGCTTATGTGAGCATGCTATATGGTATGATGCAATTTTACATCACTCATCAACATTCTGTTAACAGAATTATTATATCATTATTGATCAATAGCTCACAGTTTAAATGTGTTTTTTTTCTGTGAATATTGACTTAAATGTATAGTTTCTATGTTTTAAGCAAAAAAGAAATCAAATTACATTTTAAGGAAGAAATGCCGTGCTTCACTTTCATTTATATTGCTTAAAACTTACATAGCTTGTCTTCATTTCATTTTGCAATTTCTTTATAGAAAATGTTCAAAAGATTTTTTATCATTACATGCAGTTATAACAAGTAGTAAAAATAAGATATAAGAAAAATTTCACTGTGTGTAGAAAGTACATTATTATCTCCCTTTAAACATTATTTAAGAAAAAATTATATACAAATTAGATATACAAAAAATAAATAGACATAGTTAATATTCTAAAGAATGTTTAAATCTAATTAAAATATTATTTGAGTACGCTTGATTTTTTATGTTTAATAGCTCCTAGCAGTATTTCCAAAATAAAATTGCCTTTTGATTCACACACTAAAAAAACACATTGTGTTTTTGTCATATTTGTCTTATTTTGGTTTACGAGGTACTTCCATACAAAATCAGTTTGTAAACATACCTATTGAGGTGACTGCTTGTAAAACTTTTACTTATACTTGTAAGTTATACTGGTGTAAAGCATGAAATGCTTAAACTACTTACTTATTTTTTATACTTTATTTGGCTTGTTGTAATTATTTATATTAGCATGTATAATTCTACCTACCTCTGTAATAGTTATACTTTTACATTTTGTCTTTTTGTTCAAATTTTTGAATGCTATCTAAAGATTTTTGTCTCGCCTTGGCGGAGTCAAAAAGCAAGACATAGGTATGCTGTTTCCAGCGGTGGCGTTGTCAACAATGTATTAGTTTGTTATTAGGTCATGTTTGTGGTGAACCACCGGTATGCAGTTGTATTAGCATTGTCACATCTCATTTCCATGGAGATTATTTGGCCCTGCCCCCTCAGTCATGGTCTATTGACTTTGAAACTTTAGCTTAGTTTACATGTATTAGTTTGTGATTAGGTCAGTTTGAGGGGAACCATTAGTGGTAGTCCAATGTTATTAGGTATGAAGTTGTACAAGCATAAGCACATCTCATTTCCATGGAGAATATTTGTGATTAGATCAGTTTAAGATTAACCACTTACATTAAGTCAATGATATTTGGTATGCAAATGTATTGGCATTTGCAAGTCTTGTTTCCATGGAGATTATTTAGACCCAACCCCTTATCATGGTTCATTGACTTTGAAACTTAGTTTACAAGTTAATGTTTGTGTTTAGGTTTATTTAAAGGGAACAACTTAATTATGATAAGTCAATGGTATTTGGTATGCAGTTGTATTGCAGGCCAAACAATATGTCTGTTCAGACTAATATTGATCCTAAAAATGATATGTAGTTAAGTTAAATGATTTTCACAATATTTCATAACACCTTTATATTGTCTGTCTACACAAAAGGATGAATATATAATAGATTCCGGTGTTGATAATGGCCCAAGTCTTTGGTCCAGATCTTGATTTTGTGATGTTAGAAAAGTACTAAAAATGATAGACCTTTACATTTTCAGTAAGATTTCTGTATTTACACAGAAATGTCAATAGACCAGGCAATTAATGCAAGTTGACAAGATCTGCAAGGTTTAAAATATTTTTAAATTCATAATATAATGTTTCGCTACTTTGGCACAACTAAACTGAAAATCAGTTATTTTGAATCTGACTGAATTTCATAAGGAAAGCCATGGACCTAGGTGAACATCTTACTAATATCAACTTCTGATGATTATGATATCTTCTATCTGCATTTAAGCATGATAACTATAACTATTGTAATGCTTTCATTATGCTTACTATTGCTTCTATGTCTTTAATTGCTTTCAGAATTCTTTATGGCCTATGACCTTTGGTTTAGCCTGCTGTGCTGTAGAAATGATGCATTTTGCCGCCCCTCGATATGATATGGACAGATTTGGTATCGTCTTTCGTGCTAGTCCTCGACAGTCTGATGTAATGATTGTAGCCGGAACACTGACAAATAAAATGGCACCAGCTTTACGAAAAGTAAGATACAGTATTAGTAGGGAGAAATAGTGAGATCAGAATCATTAATGACTTTCTCTTTCAGAGTTCAATATGGCCAATGACTTTTGGTCTGGCCTGTTGTGCTATAGAGATGATGCATTTTGCTGCACCAAGATATGATATGGACAGGTTTGGTATAGTTTTTCGTGCTAGTCCTAGGCAAGCAGATTGCATGATTGTAGCAGGGACACTCACGAACAAAATGGCACCAGCTTTCAGAAGAGTAAGGTTCATTTATCAGTTTGATTTACCTTTTTTAAGATTAATTAGAAGCTGCAATCAGTGTTGAAGTTAGGTTGAACATGAACTGAAGGTTACCATGATTTCAAAACAAGCCTGTATGAAAGTATGAATTACTAATGCAGAGAAAGCCATTCTGTAGGTCTCTTATATTTCCAGAGAATTTCACACACTGAATACAATAGCTACACCTCTTACAAGTTAAATTGATAACGTTTTATCTATGATTCATTGTTGTTTGCTTAATGTCCAGTGGCAAATATGAGGATAGAGTAAAAAGAAAATATGCAATTTAGAGTCTGATCTGATATTTGTCGGGAATACATGAAGAAATGAAGAAGATGTTCTACATATTATAAATTGTATTTGATCTAGAGTGCCCAAGTATACAAGTGTCACATGACAAAGTGTTTACTTTATGATATCTGAAATACCAGTGTTCTCAATAAGAGCCGGCAACCGGCAAAATCCGCTGCCTATTGCGTGTTTTGTGCCAGCTATTAATTTATTGACAAAAATATGACATACGCGAAAATCGCATAGTCGAGATCTGTGGTACATCTTTTTTCTACTAACTGGTTCCGAGTTGTCCGCCAGGCGTAAATAATACAATACTAGTAAACGTAAACCAGTTGCAAATCATTTGAGCATTTGAAAGACTTGAAACAAAGCGATAAAATCTACAAATGAAGATTGATGCTGATGCGGATATTTTAGACAGCTCATTACAAACTCAAATATGAAGAGAATCGGTGATTACTTTTGGCGTGAGCTAGATTTACAGTAAAGTAAATATAAGAAAGCTCGCTTAGTGTATCTTGCATGGATTTAAACTTGTGTGCATTTATGTATTGTTTTTATTGTATAATCGCCGAAGTATAAAGTAAAATAAAACACGGTAAAATCAGTCCGCATCTGACGAATTCTAGTCACTTCGCTAATGTTGTTAAATCGGCACGCGGTATACTCAATTCGGTACCTAGTCAAATATAAGTTGAATATGTATTGTTTTTGGTATTTTAAGCAAAACGATTAAAATAAAGACGGGGGATGGCCAGAATTAATTATTGTATATAATCATGGAAGTAATATTGAAATATTACTTCCATGATATAATCATGTTCTTTTGTATTTTCTTCGGGCAACTATATTTTTATTCAAGGTATTGGATATTTATTATGCATGTTTTAACCAGTTAATATTAATGACGGGGACTCATAGTTTGCCCTTTTATTGCTTCTTATTTTTTCATGATTAAACAACAGCTTGGGTAATGGATTCATTGGTTTTTATTTCAGTTTTTAAAACATCAATAACTACCTGTATAGAGTTAAAACACCAAACATGTTAATTATTTAATTGATATAAGTTATTAGATAACTAATTGAAAAGAAACAAATCAAATCAAAACATCAGTCATCATGGTCATAGCTAGGAGTTAAAAAAAAAACTTCGAACGTTTCACTTCTTAATAACAAGATTATTTTTAACAATGTACTGAACAATTTAAAATCCAACCCCAATTTTTATGCCTCACCTACGATAGTAGTAGGGGCATTATGTTTTCTGGTCTGTGCGTCCGTTCGTCCGTCTGTCCTGCTTCAGGTTAAAGTTTTTGGTAAAGGTAGTTTTTGATGAAGTTGAAGTCCAATCAACTTGAAACTTAGTACACATGTTCCCTATGATATTTCTAATTTTAATGCCAAATTAGAGTTTTGACCCCAATTTTATTGTCCACTGAACATAGAAAATGATAGTGCGAGTGGGGCATCCGTGTACTATGGACACTTTCTTGTTTTCTAAATAATTTAAAAGCAGAAAATCAGATGAAAATTACTATTTGGTGCCGAACTGACCAACTAGCAGAAATGACTTTAAAATAGGTGCCTATTTGATCAGATGCCGATTGAACTTTTTTCGATAGGTGCCGATTTAACTTGTACCCTCTGACCAACAGAGAGGATTGAGTGTAACCTGATAAACTGTTTCCTGGATTTAAAATTTATTATTTTTCTAGCCATATTTTGTCAGATGCTTACTGCAGGTTGACAGTTTCCAAAGGCAACTCTGGTTTTCTCTAAATATAAATCTTAACAATTTTTGAATGACTAAATAAAGCATAAATTAATGTTCTCAATGAATTCTATATGAAACTATAATACAAGACACTAAGAAATAATATGAAGTGAAGACACAATTATAAGGGCAATCCAGAAATGTCCGTATGGGGAGGGGGAAGGCACATTAATAAAAAAAAATTGCCTCACATATTTTCCCAATCAAAACTTAAAATTAAGGAAAAATTTTGTTCAACTAAAAAGTGCCTTTCCCTCCCCATACAATCAATTCTGGAATAGCCCTTAGTGATAAAGAATTGCAATAAGAAGAACATTGAACATGGAAAGGGGTGAAGCAAGCCATGTCATATAAAATTTGCAAAAAAAAATCACATTAATTTTCAACTTTTTGAGCCAAAATTTAAATTAGCTACTAAAAATGGATAAATTAACATGAAGAATAAGAGGTCAAAATCTACTCAGAACTGCCCAGATGCCACCTCCTGCAATCTTAGATTTTCCAAATTTTCTTGGTTTAAAGAGAAAGGTGGATACCCTCTCTCCAACTCACCCCCTCTCGCACCTGCGACGCTCGGTTCGGGCCTTGCTGCCCTCATGATTTCCTGCTACTTTTATTTTTCTTCCTCTTATTCAAAAACTTATTGAGAACACTGAATACATAACATTCCTCGTTGTATTTGCGCTATATTTGTAATAATATTGTTGATAGAGGGTTTAGCACACTTAATCACTAGCTGAACATAAAATCAATAATTGGGAAACTTTCCAGTGAAGTTTTGCTAAAATGTTTTATTTGTGTTGTAGGTTTATGATCAGATGCCTAATCCACGATGGGTGATTTCGATGGGAAGTTGTGCCAATGGGGGAGGATATTACCATTATTCTTATGCTGTTGTCAGAGGCTGTGATAGAATTGTACCTGTTGATATATATGTTCCAGGTTTGTAGTCTTACATCAGAAGAAGTGACAGAACTGTACCTGTTTCAAGAACCAGTATATTTTAAGCAATTATCTTTTGAAATTGCTTCCAGATCTCCTTTAAAAAAGTGTGAGAATGAAATCAAATTGCACTTTAGTTTGCCTCAACCAAATGTTATGAAACTTATACACCATGCTTAAAACACAGATCAAGTTTGAATTTTTGTGGCGTCACTTTAACCATTCTAGAGTTATGCCTCTTTACAAATGGAAAAATTGCTGAATTTTTCGTTTCCATTCACTAACTTTAGTTTGCCTCAACCAAATGTTATGAAACTTATACACAATGCTTATTATCACAAAACACAGATCAAGTTTGAATTTTGGTGGCATCACTTTAACCGTTCTAGAGTTATACCCCTTTACAAATGGAAAAATTGCTGAATTTTTCGTTTCTGTTCTCTAACTTATGTTTGCCTCAACCAAATGTTATGAAACTTTTACATGATACTAGTTACCGCAAAACTCAGATCAAGTACAATTTTGGGTAGTGTCACTTTTACTGTTCTTCAGTTATGTCCCTTTATAACTTTATATGATATGCAAGCGGGGGCATCATCTGTGTCCCATGGACACATTCCCCATTTATTTAAAATCTTCATTAACAAATTTAAATAGAAGTGAACACTTACAGGGAAATTGGTTAACAAATGAATGCTTCATGCTAGAGCTTGGCCATGTGAAAGTAGTTATTTTTGCCTTTTAATACACCTTGTCATCTTTCTGCATAAAGTTTTATAGCTTCTCTTATTATATATAAACCAGGGAGAAGGTATAATTATTGTTCTGGCCCATTTAACTTGAAAACCATAAAAGGTTGATCTACAAACATGGTCACCATGTCTTAAAATAGAACATAAGGGCCAAACTACAGTTTTTAAACGAATTTTCGAAGGAAAAATCGGTAATTGATTGGTCCAAATTTGGGTCCAAAATTATACTGTGTTTGATTTCAACATAAATTGAATATATATAGGGTTCTTTGAAAGGCTGAATCTAAACCTGTATTTATTTTCATTATTAATTAGATGATACCCCATTGAGGTCCAAAGGGTCCTAAATTAAATTTTTTGTTTGATTTCAACAGCAATTCAAAAATTGAATTCTTGGGGTTCTTTGATATGCTAATGATAACAATGTTATTAGATTTTGGATATTGGACCATAATAGGTAAATTTCTTATTTCAAATTTTTCAGTTCTTTGACCACATTCATTTTGTGTCACAAACCTATACTGTGTCAAATATTCAATCACAATCCAAATTCAGAGCTGTTTTAAGCTAAAATGTTGTGTCTATACTTGCTCAACTGTTCAGGGTTCGACCTCTGCAGGAAAATCCAGTTTGCTATCACTCTGACAGCCTCTTGTTGCTAATATCTTGAAGAGATAAAAATGTTTAGTACTACAAGTTCTATCTAACCCGAAAATTTTGCAAAAGTTTACCTGTTTAGGAGTTTTTGCCCCTGAAAAGTTGATTTTCAACTTTTTTTCCATTTTATCATTTCATTGCCATTGTTTCAAAAACTATAGAAGCTAGGTTATAAAGTGACAAAATATATCCACCCTGAAAATTTGAGAAAAATTTAACTACTTGTTTGGAAGTAATTGCCTCTGAAATACATGTATCAATTTTTTTTTTGTCTCCCAATTTTTAGCAATTGTTGACTTTGATATCCTTGTATATAAGTGGGGTACCTTTGGCTGTGTCTAATGTACAAATAGCAGCTACGTCCAGTCATAATGGGAATACTTATTCCTGTTCCTCATATAGGGTGAGTGCATAAAATTAAAAGAACTCTTTTAAAAACTCTCTGAGGGTCCATATTCAGTTATTGGCCTGTTGCATAACAAAATACTCTCCTTTTCAATTGGCAGGTCCTTCTTCCCAGTCGACATACATTTGAAAATCCTACATATTGTATTAATTAGTTATTTGTTCTCTTCCCAAACTAATAAGCATGAAATAATTTGCATTAACAGTAAATCTGTTTATCTTTATTCAGGGTGTCCACCAACAGCTGAGGCATTACTGTATGGATTTTTACAATTACAAAAGAAAATCAAGAGAATGTCACGAGTACAGAGTTATTTTTACAGACAGTAGAGCAGGAATCTTGTGTAAATAAACTTTTGAACTGATTTATATACAGATAAACTTGTGCTTTGATACATTTGAAGTTAATTAAATTATTCTGTTTTAATGATTTTTGGTTTGTGATCAACAAATATCATCAAAAGTGAAACATTTGTATGCAATTTGGGCAATGGTATAAAATTTTGATAGGTTTTATGTATTGAAAAGGTGAGAAAATCAATATTTCGCAGTGCATTTAATTATTGTTTGGTTGATTCATAAACATTGGAGTAGTATGTCTCGATACATAAAAAGAATACCAGGAATTATCAAAAATATTGGACAGGAAACAACAGACCATACCAATTACCCAAAATTGAATCCTAAAAAAATGTAATAGACCATCAGACTTTATAACAAACAACACAGGGTCTGGACTCCAGATAGCCTATCTTGGTATGGAGACAAAATGTGGTTGGATCAAACCAGTTTAATGTGTGCACACAAACAACACATGGTCCAAATAGCCTGTCTTGGTACAGAAACAAAATGTGGTGGGGTCAAATGTGCACAAATAAATACATTAAATCCCAGTGTTAAGCCAAAGTGGGCCATACTGTGGCCTATAATTGATTGCTACCACTTTATTTTAACTCTGGTGGTTAGTCGTCTCATTTGAAATCATATCACACCTCATTTTTATATTCCAGATATATTGTATATATATATAATGTTAATCTCTGAAGTCTATTCATGAAACTATCAGTTAATGTTTCCATCTCAAAAGTGAGTCTGACTTTAAAGAAGTACAATGTACGTGTCCTTAACTTTCTATAAAGTTATTTGAATATAAGATGTGGAATAAACAATCAATAAGACAATGACCAAAGTTCACCAAAAAAACAAGAGAAAAAGTCGCATTCGTACACAGCTACTTTAGTACAAGTAATCTTGATGTACAGTTCTTTTATATTTTATATTAAGAATGTCTCCAACGAGTTTGATTTGATTTGATTTTGATTTTTGGTGTTTTAACGCCACTTTTAAGCAAGGCTTATGGGCTATTTCGTGGTGGCCAGTTTTTATTGGTGGAGGAAGCCGGAGTGCCCGGAGAAAACCATCAAACTTCGATAGGAAAACTGACAATCCTAGTCAATTAAGATTAGAGTCGAGTGAACCCGCACAAGCGGGGTTCGAACTCATAACCTCAGTGTTGACTGGCTAGTGTTTACAGTAGTAACTACTTAGACCACTCGGCCAGAGGCCCCTCCACCGAGGCCCCTCCAACGAGTTTGAAAGTCAGTACCAATCAAATAAAGGAGTTAAGCCCCTTGGAAATATAAAGTAAATTGTGTATGGAAAATTGCGTAGTAATCCCTCTTGAGCCTTTATTTCTTATAGGATTGTTATGCAATTTATAGCAAAGGCTTATATCAGCAATGTCTTTGACAAGTTTTAAAAAAATACCATTGATCAACTATTTTTACAGTTGAGTTGTGTCCCTTGGAAATGTAAATTCTATAGGCAGTTGCAGGAAATATATTTTATTGTAAGCACTCTAATACTAACTTTTTATTTGTTGGATTTTCATGAAATTTATTTGAAAGGTTTATATCTACTAAGTTTTGGAAGAGCTCAATTATCAGCTATTATTAACTATTTTACACACAAGTAATGACCCTTGGGAATAAAAATTGTATGGAAAATACCATTATTAGCAAACTTGATGCCAATATTTCTTGAAGAATATTTATGAGAAAGTTAAAAGAACAAAAAATGTCCTTTGACGGATGACATATTTGTATTGGTGGGGGACTTTGAGTGTATCTATGATCTACAGTATGCCTTCGATGGATGACATATTTGTATTGGTGGGGGACTTTGTGTGTATCTATGATCTACAGTATGCCTTCGATGGATGACATATTTGTATTGGTGGGGGACTTTGTGTGTATCTATGATCTACAGTATGCCTTCGATGGATGACATATTTGTATTGGTGGGGGACTTTGTGTGTATCTATGATCTACAGTATGCCTTCGATGGATGACATATTTGTATTGGTGGGGGACTTTGTGTGTATCTATGATCTACAGTATGCCTTCGATGGATGACATATTTGTATTGGTGGGGGACTTTGTGTGTATCTATGATCTACAGTATGCCTTCGATGGATGACATATTTGCATTGGTGGGGGACTTTGAGTGTATCTATCATCAACAGTATGCCAAAAGTTGGAGAATTTTGTAGGATGTGTCAGTTAATCCACTTGACTGAAAGGTATTTATAGATGCCATATCACAATGTGACTTCACCAGAAAATCAATCGAAGTTGAAACTCTAAAAATAAGATGATGTGATATTGATTTCATGGTTAAGATTCTGGTGAAGCAGATATAATATCACACTGTAATTTAGAATATGCAGTTATATAAACTACTGTATGCCAAGCTCTTCATAGGTTAAAGAATCCTTTCAACTGTGGGTGCTTAGATTTTACCCTAACGTACATGCCCTTTTTTCCAGTGGGAGTCCTGACTGAGTTGGTCTGGCTTATAATCTATCTAGTTGATTTTCTGTAGGGTTCGATCTTCACTCTTGCCTAGAACATGCCCTGAATAATATTAAGGAATTCAAGAATAAGGTCAAGATAAGGTCACTTATTTGCCCATTGAAATTGAAAATTGAAAAAGTATTATGAAATAACATCCTTGAAATGTTTACAAGACATTAGTCTTTCAGATATAAGTATTCATATTGTTATACTCCTGCCTCAAAAAGGAGGTAAATAGTAGTGCAAATGTCTGTCATTCACAAGTTTGGTTTCCAGATGATAATTAAAGTAATGCTTGACCAAATCTTTTGAAACTTAAACACAATGTCATTAAAGGAACCTTTAAACATAGCTCAGTTTCTTTTGGAGGTTTTAACTAACTGTGGAAGAGTTCTAGATGATAATGATATTACAGCTAACCTAAATCTTTTGAGACTTTAAAACAATGTCATAGACAATTTGGGGGGGGGGGGGGGGGGGGGGGTAAATATGTCTCCATTTAAATCCTGTAAAGTGGAATTCTTTCTCCTTCTATTTGTGATATTCTGTGTTTTTATACCCCACGCAACAAAGTTGCGGAGGGTATAATGTTTTTGACCCGTCTGTCTGTCCGTCAGTCCTGTTCTTGTCATCGCAACTCCTCGGAAACCGCACAACAGAATTTCATGAAACTTTGTAGATAATAAGGACATACTATGTAGATGTGCATATCGACAGGAAATCAAGATTCATTTTTTGGGAAAATGATGCAGTCAATTTTCTTTTTCCATTGACCAGACTTCCAAGCCACTTTCCGAACTCGGTTCCGTATTTTAAATACTTATGTACTATACAGAATTTCATTCTTAACCTGTCCATATGTTTATTGGTATCAAATGGTATTTTGGGCTATTCCTTTGGTATATTTTTATAAGACCGCAAAAAATTTTGCGGTCGTATATTGGTATGACGTTGGCGTCGTCGTCGTCCAAAGACACATTGGTTTTCGCACAATAACTTTAGTTTAAGTGAATTGATCTCTATGAAATTTTACCATAAGGTTCAATATCACAAAAGGAAGGTTGGGTTTGATTTTGGGGCCAAAAAGGATCCAAAAATAAGTATTTTTGTAACTTCCAGACAATAACTTGTGTGTTAATGTATGGATCTCACTGACATTGTACCACAAGGTTCCATATCACAAAGGGAATGCTGGGATTGATTTTGGGGGTAATTGCCTCAAAATTTTAGGAATTAGGGGCCAAAAAAGGGGAAAAAAACAAGCACTTTTCTAGTTTCCAGACAATAACTTGTGTGTAAGTGTATGGATCTTTCTGAAATTGTACTACAAGGTTCATATCACAAAGGGAAAGCTGGAATTGAGTTTGGGGGAATTGCCCAAAACGTTTAGGAATAAGGGGCCAAAAAGGGGCTAAAAATAAGCATTTTTCTAGTTTCCAGACAATAACTTGTGTTGAAGTGTATGGATCTCTCTGAAATTGTACTGCAATGTACCATACCACAAAGGGAAGGCTGGGATTGAATTTGGGGGTAATTCCCTCAAAATATTAGGAATTAGGGGCCAAAAAGGGGCAAAAAACTAGCCTTTTTCTAGTTTCAGGACAATAACTTGTGTGTAAGTGTATGGATCTTTATGAAATTGTACTACAAGGATCCATATCACAAAGGGAAGCTGGGTTTGAGTTTGGGGGTAATTGCCCTAAGTTAAGGAATTTGGGGCCAAAAAGGGGCCAAAAAAACAAGCATTTTTTATAGTTTCCAGACAATAACTTGTGTTCAAGTGTATGGATCTCTCTGAAATAGTACTGCAAGGTATCATACCACAAAGGGAAGGCTGGGATTGAATTTGGGGGTAATTGCCTCAAAATATTAGGTGTCAAAAAGGGGCAAAAAACAAGCCTTTTTCTAGTTTCTGGACAAGAACTTGTGTGTAAGTGTATGGATCTTTATGAAATTGTACTACAAGGTTCCTTATCACACAGGGAAAGCTGTGTTTGAGTTTGGGGGTAATTGCCCTAAATGTTTAGGAATTTTGGGCCAAAAAGTGGCCAAAAAACAAGCATTTTTACAGTTTCCAGACAATAACTTGTGTTCAAGTGAATGGATCTCTCTGAAATTGTACTGCAAGGTACCATACCACAAAGGGAAGGCTGGGATTGAGTTTGGGGATGATGAATCATAAATGGGTTCAAAAAATTGGAGGGGGGGGATTTTTTTCCTTTTTAGCTCACCTGGCCCAAAGGGGCCAGGTGAGCTTTTCTCATCACTTGGCGTCCGTCGTCCATGAACTTTTACAAAAATCTTCTCTGAAACCACTGGGCCAAATTTAACCAAACTTGGCCACAATCATCATTGGGGTATCTAGTTTATAAATGCGTCCGGTGACCCGGCCAACCAACCAAGATGGCCACCATGGCTAAAAATAGAACATAGGGGTAAAATGTAGATTTTGGCTTATATCTCTGAAACCAAAGCATTTAGAGCAAATCTGACATGGGATAATATTGTTTATCACAGTGTTCCAGCTAGGTCGTTTTCACACACAGGGCGGTTCGCCCGCCCTTTCCCGAGT